GCCCCAACCCCAGGCCTGGCTCCAGGGCGGGGCCCCGGTGTCCCTCCGGGCCGGGTACTCGGGTTCTTGATAGTCTTCATCATTAGGATCTTCTGAACCGTTCTTTGTCTGGCCCTTCACCTAGGACCAATCTGCCTTGGGAGACCCTACCAGGGGCAAAATGCCCCCGACAACATAGCTCCTAGGGTCATTAGGGCTCTCAAACTCCTCCACCACGGTAAGTTGACGGTTCAAGGAGGAGTTATTGGGTATTATTATCATTATTATTATTATTATTATTATTATTATTATTATTATTATTACCAACAATGAGCTAATGGACACATGAATTTCCCCCAGCTGATAAATAAAGTATCTGTCTATCTATCTATCTATCTATCTATCTATAGGGGATACTGGACTCCCTGTAAAATGGCAAGACTGAAATTTTGGGATTCAGATATGTAAAGATATAAAATATAATAATATTCTGCAACAAAGTTCTTGGCACAGAGATGCCACAGAGCCCTGGCATAATAGCAGAAGGGACCAGTTTGACAGTACAGCAGACTCTATGGTGCCGACTGGCTCTCACTACAGGTTGTAGGATTGTGCTCAGGCACTGGAAAACAAGAAATTTCATCCCTTTCAATGAGTGGTCAGGAGAAATGACCAAGATGAACAATTAAAAGCCAACTATGAACAATTAATTTTTAAAATGAACAATAGGCAGGAATAGGCAGTATTTTAGAAATTATGGGGCCCCTACTTGAATACAATACTCAGTGACTGACCAGGTGATGCCAATGTTTACCCCGTGTTTTTTTTTTTTCAACCTGCGATGTGATACTGTGCTGGTCTCACCTGAGTTTGGGATATTCTTTCTAATTGTGCTTTATTTTTATTGATCAAATGGAAGTATCACGAAAATAATCCTTTTCGCCTAAGCTTTTCGACAACCCTCCTGGATCCTGTGAGGAAAACAGCTGAAGTCTGACTTTTCTCTGTTCATCTGTCCTGGTGTGTAGGAGTGTAACATTACAGCTGTGCCACAGACACACATGAAAAATCTGTTAGGAGAAAAATGCTATTGGATCTGAGTATGACAACCATCACTCACTTTTAGTTTCATTTAATTTATTTATTTAATAGGGACGATGCAATATGACATTGTTCCAGTACAAAGCATGAAACTGATGAGTTTGTAGCTATTGCTAATTTTTGGTAATTTTCAAATCAGTCTGTATATGGTTTATGTTCAGGTGGCATTAATTGTTAAAACTATAATTTCTGCTCGACATTTGAGCGTTTTGTAAACATTATTCTTATCATATATCTTATTGAAACAGTTTGTGTTGTGGAAAAAGGGGTCCATAGTTAAATCCATAAGTTGAGTTAAAATGATATTCTGTTTATTACATTTATTTTTAAGTCATTGTCATCAGAAAATAAACATGTTTGTGAAGATTATGTGGCCTGAATATTATGATTAAAATGCTTGTTTGGAAGCTGCTGTCTCTGATTTGTTGTTAAGAGACTTCTTGTGATATAATGATGAACTAATTACATCGAAAGTTCTTGTTAACCACCAATATATTTCTAAGGAACAACGCACACTGCACTTTACAATCCTGTTTATTTTGTGTTTGTTGTAAAGAAAGGAGTAGGTAGGCCATATATCATCCTAAAAATAAAGTTGGCTTTAAAAAAAAAGCCTAAGTGCAATCAGATTCTTTTCCTAAGTCCTTATGAATGTTTTCTGAATGTGTTTGTGTTTTGTCTGTTTGTATGTCTTTTCTGAAGTTGCAGGGTGTTGAGCTCTTAGGGCCACCTCACAATCAGCACAACTTCACTTAATTAGCCTATACAGTATATGTCACTCAGACTCAGATGATATACATACAGATGGAATGCAGCAATGCAGACAAAAGGTGAGACAATCCGAACCTTTTCCAACATTACGCAGTGCTGATTCTCTGGTTTAAGAGGAACAAACTGCATGTGTCTAGCTCAAACCACTGAGGAGTATTGATGATCTAAAGACAGCATCACATTTGGGGGTATATTTCAGAGGATTTGATTTAAATATAAATGATTTGTTTACCAAAAAGCAACCCATCACTCACCCTGTCAGCCTTTAGCCTGTTCCTGGTCATCCTGTTGGTTAGGATAAAAGAATCATGGGTTGATCCAGGCCACTGTACCACAATACTGCTACTGTCACATTCATGCATCACATTATTTGCATGTTGATTGAATCAAAATGTTTTCTATTAACAAAGGCGAATTCATCCTCTGATGTTGCAGTGTGTGTTTTTGATGGAGCTGCTAACAGCTCATAGACCTCTGAACTGTGACCCCGACCACACTCTCCTGTTTGGAAGATGTCAGGAGCAAAAAAGGCTGGAAACCACTGGTTTAATATTTAACCATGTGTTGTAATGTAAAAGCTTGTTATATTATCTACTGTGTAAAATTTATCTTTAAGGTAACTAGAGCCAGAGGAGATCTGGAGTACTTGAACTATGAGTGATAAGGTCATTGCAGACGGGTGTGTGGAGAGATACCAGGACACACACACACACACACACACACACACAAAACTGACTCACAATCACAGTTGTGACACAGGCAGTGTTTTACTGCTGCATTAATATGTATCTTCCATTTCCCTGCTGTAGATGTTTAAGGTGGAGCTCATTTTAACTACTTTATCTACTGTTGAGTAGCTGTAGCTCTACAGCCAGGCATCATATTCTATAAGATCATTCTATAAGACCATCATGTGTTTGTAGCATCACTGTCCTGTAAGAACCACACATCTCTTAGAAGTCAACTTTAACGAGCTCAGATAAACTTCATCATAAACAACATGACATTAAAACCTTACTGGAACCAGGCGCCCTCAGGTTTTTGAGACAAGGGCTGGAGTGTCTTTTTCTCAGTGTCACTGCACCAACTGACAACCACCTTGGTGACGACAGAGCTTTGTCCTGATTGGCTGAAGGCTTCACTGACACACATGATGTGTTCTACATTTTTATTCTGAGAAGCTGTCTTGGTCATTTTACATGTACCTTTGAGACAGTGCCTAACTTCAGTAAGTCTTTAACATGGAATCATGAGGTAAAAATAACACCTGTTATTGAATGTCTGAGCACTGAACTTAAACATACTCATGAAGCAAGATTAGGATTTGGTGCCCCCACTCCACCAACACCATGACATTACCACACCAGTACTGCCTCATCACCATCTACTCCATCATGGTATTAGCTGTACTTATCCCTCACTTATAGTGTTTCTGCTGTCTCTGTGTGTGTGTGTGTGTGTGTGTGTGTGTGTGTGTGTGTGTGTGTGTGTGTGTGTGAGAGAGAGAGAGTGTGTGTGCATCTGGGTGTGGTAATCTGGTCCCTCCTGCTTCGAATGTACCTGCGCACCTGTGACTCATCCACTTATCAAGCTCCTGCAGCATATGTCCCTCAGCTCTACGCAGTCTTTGCCAGATTGTTCCTTTGTTCTCCTTTTGGATTCAAACTAAACAAATCACACTCATTCTATAGTGGTACTGTAATAGCTAATCACTCAAAGTTATTTTAACTACTGGAGGTTAGGTGGAGTAACCTACACAGAGAGAGCCAATATGAGGCTTTTGCAGTCTGAATTGATCAAATCAACTGAAATCCAATTCCAAAGTTACAGTCTTGTTAATGCAAAAATCCCAAGGGAGGCATCTATCCACAGTCAGTATGAACAGGAGTAATGATTCCAGCAGGCAAAAAAGTTTTGATGTAAAGTACACATGGGCACCACTCTGTTTTAAGACAGTTGAACTTATCCCTCAAAAAAGGATCTTAAACCACCCTGAAATGTTGCTCTAAATTCGGATTATACAGGAGTATTTATTAAGATTACGTGGTGAACCGGAATGTTCTTGCTACTGATGCATTTGGACCAGCACAGTCTTGTGGGTAAATAACCATTTTATCTCATCATTTAGTATTATTGTGGTAGAGCAGCCACCCCCACCCCCTTATTCAAGTGGAAAACATTGTCTTTTAATATATTTATAAATAAATGCTAAAAATCTTACTTTGACTTTTCTCTGGTAGCAGTATACGCCCTGTACCACAGCCCAAATCTGGCCCTTACATAGCATAATTCTCAGATGCTCACAACTGGACCAATTCTGTCAGACAATACCATAAGATAATAGCTGGAATCTGCCCACATGTTGAAGTATATGGGCCACACCTGGGCTCAGGATTCAGGCATATGCTGGGGCAGAAGTTTCATTTTGCGATCTGGGTTTCCTCTAATTTTTGTGCTACATTTGCAAAAATTGTTGTTACATTTTATCTTATTCATCATCTTCATCTTCAACAACAACAACAACAACAACACCAATAATAATATAATGATAATAATAATAATAATAATAATAATAATAGTCAAAGCAGATGCTCCTTGCTATAAGTTGAGGATGCCTCAGTTTGATAAAAACTGGGAGATGCTTCCACCCAGTGGCTGCCAGTGGTCATTAAACTGTGGGATAAAACAGACATTTGAACTGAAGTTACTGCACAGATTTTATGTGTCTGATTTAAGGGGAGAGAGAAGTGTGCATGATCATTGATATTAATGTGTTGTATCACTTCATCAGTAATATTCTGGTAATTTTTACCGTTTGTTATTAACTTTAAACTATACTGAGGTTTGATTTTAGTTGAGAACAGAAGACGCTTGTTCATCTTTTAATTCTAAGGTTAGATAATAAAACGTTAAAGAGTCATATTAGGATAATTCGAGTATATTAATCCTATGTGCGTCATGGTGCTTTTATTTCGAAGACCGGAAGTACAAAATTTTTCCCACTCTGACAGATTTTGCGTTTCTTACAGGTGCCGTCCAACTCAGGCCATTCTCCAACACGTTTACACCGAAATCTGTGCGTAAGAGGATAGCCCTTCCAGGCCCCGTTTTCCGCGTGTTTTAATTATTTATTTCCGTGTAAACTGCAGTCTTGATATAAAAACATTGATGGTCGATAAAATTGCCCTGTGTTGAGGGCCCCGGGGAGAACTGCTCAGGATTATAAAGTCACCTCAGACCTCGGTTCACATTCAGAGACATGGCTCGACCACGGCCGCGGGAATACAAGGCAGGAGATTTGGTTTTCGCTAAGATGAAGGGATACCCGCACTGGCCGGCGAGGGTGAGTCTGGGATGCGGCCGGGCTGGGAACACAGGGAGGCGGGGTTGATTTACACAATACAGCCGCTGCTTTGTTGGGGGAACAGGAGGGATGCTCCGTGGCTGACTGCACACCGTTTGGTTTCAGTGTTTTTATCACTGACGACGAAACCGTCTTTTGTAAGCCCTTGGTTTCCGCCAGGTTGTGTAAAGATTTAGACATTTTAAAATGAGGAAAAACATTTACTGGGCTCGATTTTCTCAACACGCCCCCTGCTCCATTTAGCTTCTATTGAGTTATAACACAATTTCCCATGTTCATATTTTCTACTTGTTTTCATCTCACGTTTTCTTTAAGATGTCACACATTGGAATAAACGAGCCAATAGTTGACCTGCTTGAGCACCACTGTACGTCTCATTCGCAATAATTGGTGCTCTGTATTATATACAGTGTATATAGAATATATACATATACATATACATACAGAGAGACAGAGAGGGGCCTGAAACATGTGCCTTCATGTCATGAGTTACTGTGTATGTCCTCAGTGCAGTAGGCTGTCAGGCTCCATTTGAAACCTCTCAGTTACTACAGCATCTCCCTCTACCATTTTACTCTTCACCACGTTCTATTGTTTATGTGAGACAGGACACAAGCCAACAGTAGTCAGGTAATGTGGTGGACATTAACAGATGACTGGAAATCTGAAAGAATATCAGAGTGAGTAAATAAATATTAACCCAGTAACATTTTTGTCTGTCTCTCTGTCCTTCAGATTGATGAGCTTCCTGAAGGAGCTGTCAAACCACCTGCCAATAAATACCCCATCTTCTTCTTTGGGACCCATGAGACGTAAGTACAGTAACATTTATGGTATCCATGCCAAAGCAACACCTTAAAATACTTAAGTTGTCTACATGTTTAAAGCCACAACCACTTTCTGGAACTTTCAACCTCATTTTCCTCATTTGTCTTCACATAACCTAAGTGTTGGACTTTGGTCATGCGATTTAACAAAATGTGACAAACCATTAAAGGCATCAGTGTTGAAGGAGGTCTGCTGGTTTCCAGGGAATATGTTTGAATACTGTGGGTGTGTGGTCTGGAACAATGAGACACCAGGAGAAATTCAGTCCCATCCCATTATGATTTATTACGGTCTTAAGGCTTCTATTTACAGGTAGTCGAGGGTCTGGCAATTGACGTTGTTTTTTTAAATCCAAACAGAAAATATGAATTATGAGTTACTTACACTAACAAAATATCTAAGCTTATCATGAGTTATGATGTAAAACAACTACTAACATAACTTTACCATAACATCTCAAATACTGCAAGGTCTAAGGAACAAAGGAACTCACATTTACACTCTATCAACTGTTGCCGGGAGAGTCCATGGTTCAGCTGCTGGTCAGCAAAGGGGCTTGCACCTGATCTATATAACCTCTGATGAATCCTGGGCTGTGGTTGAAAAGTGTTTTTTTCTTAGGTTGTAACTGAGTAAAGGGACCTGACATATCTGAGCAGCAGCCATGATATGAGCTTGTCCACTTCTCTTAATAAGGAAAGGAGCTTCCTATCTTATCTCCTTTAGCGTAAGAAACCCCTCACCTTCCTTTACAAAAGAAGAGGAGAAATGCTGTCCCACAATTCCTTGCTGCAAACATTTAAAGTTAAGCACTGTTGTAGTTTCACCACAGCAAACCCACGTAAATGCAGAAACAACAGAGCAGCTGTTTTATGTTTCTGACACAATCCAGAACCAATGGAACTCCTTGTCTGATCAACTAAAGCCCAAATCCATAAATATAGATTCATTCTCTTTAAATCATTTAGGAGTCATCATGAAGAACAAGCAGGTTGAATTTATAATTAATAATAACATCATCATAACTAAATACTATAGTTTATAAATAAATCCCCTCCTATTGTGTAAAGCACTCACTTTTCTCTACTTAACAAATGTATAAAAATGCCAGGACAGTCTGTACTTATGTCTGAATATAATTTATTCTGATCTCTCGCTCAGTTCATTATTTCGACTGAATTATTATTTTAATGGCTCAACCTTTATTTGTATTTTTCTTTCATAGTATCTTATTTCAACATTTCAATCCCGTTTGTTTTTGTGGTTGGGAAAGGAGGATTTATTGTCTAAGTGTTATAAATAAAGTTAGTAAAAAAAAAAAAAAACTTGTGTAAGTGCAGTCAGATTCTTTTTCCTTCTGAGTCCTTATCAATTGTCCTTCACATCTTTCCTTGACCTCATGATGTTTTCCATCGAGGTCGAGGAGAAGAAGTTAAAGGTATAATGTGCAAGATCATGCTTCTTGATCCACCTCCATAGGGGGCAGCATTTCACCACTTCGCCCCTGTCCAGTTAATCATGTTGTTGTTTTCCCCATGTTCCATATAATTTACCATTTATATGTGCATTTATTGTTGATAGTTAAAATTGTTGATAGCACTGAAACAAATTATGAGTAATTGTAATACAAACAGTATGTTTTTATTTACCTATACAAATATGAAGGCAAGGGGATACTGTAGCAGCATAAGGAAGGGATGATGACATCAAGATATTAATATGTTTACTAGATATCAAGATATCCAATAAACATATTAACAGGAAATAACATTAAAAGGTAAAATACTGCAACAGTCAAAAAGATAAATATACATAGATTCACATATTCAAAAAATAAAACAATGAAAAAAACTATGTACAATGTGTTGACAAAACTCAATAGACAGTATCTGTTCTGTGCAGGGATAATACTCGAAGGTGTTACTGTAATGTGGTTGTTGATCGATGAGGCCAGATGTAGAAGAAAAGGCAGGTGCTGGTCCATCACTGGGGATGTTCTTTATATTCAAATATGTTAGGTCTGTTGTGTGTGTATAATAAATAGTAAGAATAGATTTGAATATGCTAAAATAAATACAGTATTAGGCAGTGGATCCTGAACCCGCTGGCTCTGGATCAAACAGTCTCTTTGTCTTACTTGTAAAAAGTTACTGATGCATGGAACAGGCTAAATTCTACTAAATCACTAGACGCTACACTGACACATAGCATGTCTAGGTGGTATTACAACACGGTCCGGGACGCGGCTAGTTGGTTAGCATGCTCATTTCAGTAGATATCTCTGAAATACAATAGATGGTGGTCTTGGTCATGACATCATCACTGTGGCTCCTTCACATAGTATTGATTTCATTTTTTGAACATTTTAAACTAAAATTCTGGTCAGATTAGGCCAGATCTTACACATTGCACCTTTAAAGAAGAGGTTATTTTGACTTTTCAACCACAGCCCAGGCCCGTCCTCCTTCCTGCTCCCCTGAGGCAGCTCCTCTTCCAGATCTGCTCTTCACAACAATGCTGCATGCTAATTGGCTCACTGACATTGATGAGATTCACTAATTTACTGTTTTCTTAGATAAATTTGGTATCGAATGACAAGACATCTTTCCTTCCTCGATAGTTTGAAACCAATTCAGTCGGTCCATAAAAGTATCAAAGCTCGATACTCAGCAGTAATCCTGATTTAGATCAGCAAATTTATGATAGAATGGTATGAGCAGTCATTCAATAACCTATTTTAGACCTTGACAGTTTTTAATACTCAGTGCTACAGACGCATTTCTGTCTGTACTCAAAAAGTATTGAGGTTTGATTTCCAGACCTATGTGTACGTAAATGCTAGAGTTTTACTCAGGTTATAACAGTTTAATACTGTTTTTCTGCAAAAATGTAAAATCTCTAGATTTGAAAATATTATGTATTATGTATAAACTTCCAATTATTTAGTGAAACATCCTGTGGTATTTTAGATTGTTTTAGTAATAGCTGTAGTTGTAAACATCTTTTCTAATTCTTTAGTGCATTCTTGGGCCCCAAGGATCTTCTGCCCTACAAGGAGTACAAAGACAAATTTGGCAAGTCCAACAAGAGGAAAGGCTTCAATGAGGGTCTGTGGGAGATTGAGAACAACCCCAGAGTCAAGTTCACAGGCTATCAGGTCAGTCAGTGTTACTGTGTGTGTGTGTGTGTGTGTGTGTGTGTGAGGTCCAGAGTGACAGCAGAGATGACAGATGCCAAAACTATAAGACACAAATCGAGGGCTGGCGTGAGAAAGATGGATTAACTGGTTTCACACGTATAAATCTGAGGTGTTGGTCACTGTGGAATGATTCATTTCTTCTTTTCGTCCTGCAAAACACATTTGGGGTCATTTTTTGCACACAGGCGATCCAGCAACAGAGTTCATCAGAAACAGAGGAGGGTGGGAACACTGCTGACGGCAGTAGTGAGGGTGACGAGGGCGACTCTGTTGAGGAGGAAGATGACAAGGAAAAGCTGAAGGGAGACAAGACGGGGTCCAAACGGAAAAAGACAGCCACCTCCACCAAGGTACAGTAGTTCAGCTGGTCAGGTATAACAGGAGCACTGATGAGGTGAGCCTGAGAATGATATCATCAGGTTAGAGGATAGATTTGATGAATTCAAAGATTGGAAAGTATTTGAGATTTGGTATGGACAGTAGAGGTCATGAGCTGTGTCTCCTTTGTGGCACTGATGGAAAAATCTTTTAACATCCAACTGTGATGTTCAAGACACAGGTGCAGTATTTTTGCTTTTGAAGAAGCTGTGTAAACGCAGTGCTTTGGACTAAATGTCTATGGGTATGATAATGTACAAACAGGTTGGCAGAGTCACTCCCTTTTAATAAGTTTGTACAACTTATCTAAAGGGAGAAGTGGTTGTACCTGTTCTAAATGAGCATAAAACTCTGCTCCACCACCTCCAAAAACTCTTGTCTGTCTTTTTCTGTCTTTGTAGACTACACGTGTTTAAGTGTCCAAATGGGGGTGACCGCATTCCTTTTTGGAATTTGAATTTCAAAGGATAAGGCTGTCGATAGTCTATATTTTTATTCCTCTGCGTCGGTGACAGTCAGAGCCAGAGGCATATTATTATCCATCTGTCACATTGTCATGGACACAATCAGGGTTTTTCCTGCATGGAGAATTGGGAGGCAGCTTCCTCCATCAAATTTCGTGCCACCTCCGCCTCCTGACAAAACGGTAGTACTTGTTTTCTCAGTACTCTGTGCATTTGACGTTTGTAACTGCAATTGTGGCTGTATGCCACTACGGCAATGTAGTGGCACTGTATTGTAATCCGTACATCAGGCAGAGCCATCCGAAATCTCCAGAGAAGAAGAATATGAACGCGCTGGATTTTCTGCCTGCGGAAGAAGGCGGCGACCTGATTTTCGGCTCTTCAAACAGGTGAATAGGGTTGCCACCCTTCCCGTGTAAGGCGGGATAGTCCCGTATTTGGACATAGAATTATTCTAGTACTTGTTTTCTCTGTACTCTGAGGACATAACATGAACAAAAATACGGGACAAATTGCATACCGTATTGATTCAAATCCACAAAGTGCTGTGAATAATGCCACCTTTTTTCACATAAAAGGTGGCAACCCTACAGATGGATATCTATTTTACATCCAAGCAGACCCAGCTTCCTTAAAAGTTTCCCTAAATTAACGTTACATCCCATCATGTATGGTTTTTTTTTTTCAGAAATGAAAATCACAGATTATTTTGAAAAGAGAGTTTGCGAGTAGGAGAATGTCGAGGACAGGTGAAACAGTGCAGAGTGAAGACATCATTAGTTCATCATTAGTTAATTCATGTTACTGACGAGATATGGTTAATGTGTCACAAACCCAATGATTAATACTGTATTTCCGTGTGTGTGTGTCTGTGTGTGTGTGTGTATCCAGAGCCTCATATTTCTTATTCCTCCCAGAGCACAGCTGTTGTTGACACTGGGTAACATTTTCCTTCATTACCATCAACACACACACTGTAGTTTATTTTGACTTTATTTATCCAGCATATATTTGATGCACAGTTCCAGAGGGACATATAAAACTGATAGGTGGGATACTCAGCTGTTTTTGAACTTGTAATTGGCTGTAAAGACGTTTAAGTCTTCCACTTAAAGATTTTTTCTTAAATAGGGCAACCAGGTTTTTTCAGCTGAAAATGAGTCTGTAGCTTCACTTTGAGATGTTTCTCCACATTTCAATCATCCCAACATGTTCTTTAATAAACTCTGTGCTGATGATTTCACTGTATTCTTTATGGTGTTCTACCTTTATTTTGAAAAATAAAGCCTTCATGTTTGAGGGGAGGGAGTGCTGCAGAGCTAACCACCACCAGAGTGTGTTACTGTATTAGTTGCATAAACCACTGCTACTGTAAATGGAAGCAGGTTGAAAAAGTCACACACATCCCACTCCTCACTTAGCAACCACTGTTTCCTAGCAACTGGGCTCCATTACGCACAGCACATGTGGTGTATCTGATGGAATGAGGTGCTGCTGGGGAGCTGTGTGTTCCTGTGTGTGTTTGTGTGTGTGTGTGTATGTTTGTGTGTGTAGGTAGGTGTGTGTGCCCGCGTGCGTGTGTGTACAAGAAGCACATGATGGAACTGAAATCTCCTCAGATAAGAGAAGATTAAATGTCATCTGTTTTGATGGGGTGGTGTCGGGGGAGCAGTAGTTTGGTTGTTCATCAACCTTACCTCACTCCCCTTTCAACCCCCCACCCAAGTGTGAGGGGGGAGTTTTGAGTTAAGACAGAATCTTAACTCAGTGTTCATTGACTAGGTTTAGAAAGTGTTTGTCTTTTGGAGGAGTTCAACAGTTGCAAGACATTTTATTTGAGAAATTCAGCGAAGAGTGAAACAATAAAAAGAAAATGTGATTTGGAAAAAAATGGCTGTGGTCTCTAAAAACTCTTTCCCGTCTCATTGCTCTCTCCATAACAATGATAGCAAACCACAAATTATGAGCTATGTTTTCCTGTTGTTGGGTGATACTGGTCATTGCAGGTGTCATTGATTACCATGTTACGATGGTAACATTGGTCTTAGACCTTAGTTAGGCTGTGGGTAAGGGTCCGGTTTCACAAAGATAGACATTGACTATGTCTTATATATAACAAATAGTCAAATTTCAGATAGATCTGAATTCATCTGTTGCACAAAGCAGTTTATTTCTTGACTATTAAAGCTGGACTGTGCTATAATGAATTCTGGGTAAATTAAGACTTTTATCAAAATAAAAAAAATGGCCGACTAAGGAACCACATTCAACCGCTCTGCTCCATTTACCTCAGCAGAAAATGTTTGTCTTTTGGAAGAATTCAACTGTTACAAGGACGTTTGATACATTTTACTGTTTTACTGTACTACGAAAATTCAGCGAAGAGTGAAATAATAAAAGAAAAATCTAATTTCGAAAAAAAATGTCACTCCGGTATCTAAAAACTCTTTCTCTTCTCTTCGCTCTCTCCATTACAATGTTAGTAAAGCACAAATTATGAGCCATGTTTTCCTGTTTTTTGTTGTTGGGTGCTACTGCTCAGTGCAGGTGTCACTGATTGTTACCATGGTAACATTGGTCTTAGGCCTGAGTTAGTCTGGGGATAAGATGTCAAATTTTTTGGCTTAAAATTAGTAGGTCTTTATTTTTGTAAAACAGTCTTACTGACATTAGACTAATCTATTTGCAAAATTAAGACTGGCCTAACACTACAGACCAGTCTAAAATAGCTTTGTGAAACCACAGAAGAGACTCTTGTATTTACATTTGCATCATGAATTGTGTCTTCAAATTATACAACTACTTATGTAGTGTAGTGTAATGTTGCATAATAATATACTCACAGCAGAACATTAATTATTTTGATATTACTTCACCAGAATAATGAAAAGTTAGACACAGTAATATATTCGCCAGTTTATGTAATAAAAGTGCTGCTTGCTATAAAGCTTTGACCATGGACCCTGTGTGCAATGAAGTCAAGTCTCACTGCTTCACAGTGTGAATATCTTCGAACTGGCTTGTTGTTTATCCCCTGTAAAGTGTGATTTGCTGCTATTGACATTTTTTGTCTGTTAGAAATGAAAATTGTGACGCTCAGTAACTGTTCCCGCCCCCTGATCTGTGACAGAAATCCTCCAAGCTGTCAAGGATCTCTTCTGGAGAGGACGACCTGGAGAAAGATGGGAAAGATGATGACCAGAAGAGCGGCTCAGAGGGAGGAGACCCCGACAATGACATCATCCAAAATACCACCGACAGTAAGGTGGGATTCATGAACACTTTCATACCCTGATCATTGGTTAGTACTCACTCCACACAGGGGACAGTTTAAAGGTTCATAATCCCTTTTTTCAAATCTCAAACCTCACTCAGTGATGTTGATAGGTTTTCAATGTAGTGAGTCCCCGGGACCCACAGGTGGTGATTTGAGTGGGTCCATGGGAAATTCAATGGGTCCCAAATAAAATTTTTTTATTTCTTATATTCTTCTATTTCTTAAATTGTAGTGTTAAACTCCTTTGATGGTGGTATGATATGGTTATAATTAACGGATATATTCATGTATGTTCAAAATGTATCTGAAATTAAACAAATAAGATTCCAAATCTGAAAAGTTTATTGCAAAACAACTGTCACAGCGGCATGACATACAAAATTCAAATAAAATAGCATTTTTGTAGCAACATAAATAGCACCAAAATAAATTACTAAAATTCAAATGAAAACAAAATGGCGTCTGTAGTACCAAAATAAATGATCAATAAAAGTGCTGATTTTAACACATAAACAAAACATTCTCATCACCATGACAGAGTCAACAAATAAATTGTCACCAAAATAAGACCAAAATCTTCTTGTCTGAATATCAACTAAATCAAATGAACTGAGTCAATCACTGTGAAACTTTTAGCACACAAATGAAACTTAACACAGTGGAAAGTCTGTTAAAGTATTTTTCATCACCGCCACCGGAGTATGTTTTATTTATTTCATTACAGCACGTCCCCTAGACGTTAAAACATTGTCGACATGAGTGAACACAGCATTGAGCAGTGTAAACATGAGTTTATTTACTATTATGAAGTTCGTATCTTTAATTGTTGAAATGAAATCCGCGGTAACTGGCTAATTGTTGTGGTAGTGGCTAAACTAGCATGTCGCGATACTGTGCACAGGGGATCACGTCTGCGCGGAGTAGATGCGCAGAGGGTTGAAACAGCGCTTGCCTGGTCTGCTGACAGTGAAGTTACTTTTGCTAGTTACTGTGATTTTAAACACGAGTTGTTGTTCACAATGTATCGTTTTTCATTGGAAAAATGAGTTGCGTTCCTGGGACGCATGGATAGTGAGTTTACTGCGTCCTTTCAGATTTTAATGCGTCAGGGACGCAGGACGCGTACCTAGCAACATCACTGCTCACTTTTATTGAGGTTATGTTCTTTGACATATAAATTAGGAACAAACCTCAAACTTTACATGACAAGGTTTTCAGTTTTTCTAGTTTTTCTGTCCTGAAATATTTTAATATTCTGTAACTTCTATAAAATTTCTGAGCAAGTTTGTGAGGATTCATTTGCAGTAAAGCTAAAGGAATAATAACCTGTTTAGAGAAGTAGCTATTAGTTTGTTACTGTGATTGCTTTAGATTAAAAAAATACAGACTGGAAACTACATATTACCTAGACGGTATTATGGAGCATTAGCCCCAGGACCAGCTGTGCGTAAAAAAGTAGGTTTTCACTCTTATGCCAGTCTCAGCTACGCCCAACTTTATGAAATTAATGTAGTGAGTGCACCAAACTTGACTGATCATGTAGCTGCACCACAATGCACGTTCATGTGAATACCTGCAAAGCTGTGATTGCTGCTAAGCAACACATTAAACTCTAACTTCAGCCTTCAAACAAGCTGGAGGATATGGACAAAGAAAAGGAAAGTCAGCATGGAAATCAATAACCAGTGCAATCAATAATGAATGTGATGGAGGATTGTGGACAGTTGAAGGGATCAGGAAGAAATGGAAAGGTCAGAGTGGGGGACAGCGCCACATTTCTGTCCGATGTTCCTCCATTAGCTCAAACAGAGCCTGTATACCAAAGGGAACCCTCTCCATCAGCTGACTGTCCAAACAGACGTCCAGTGGGTTTGTCACTGATGACTCTTTCTTGTCTTAGTACCCTTTTGTTATTAATTCTGTGAAGAAGACACGCTGCCATTCTGTCTCTGCGCCAGCAACAGTCAGATCGGGAGCCATATTGTTTTTGGGCTGTCCATCCGGCCCATTCTCATGGACACATCTTAGTAACACCTTGATGGAAGTTCTTGAAATTTGGCAAATTCTCTAGGACTCAGCGACCACTTTGGTGGTAAAGGTCAAAGGTCAAGGTCATGGTGACCTCACAAAGTGCAGTTTTGTCCTTGTGAACGCAATATTTCGAGAACTCTTCAAAGGAATCCCTTCACATTTGGCACAAATGTCCACTGGGACTCAAGGATGAACTGATTGGACTTTGGTGGTCAAGGTCAAGGTCCGTGTGACCTTACAAAGCACTTTTTATCCATAACTCAAGACTTCAAACAGCAGTTATGACAAAATGTCACACAAATGGTTAATATTTTACATGACTCTGGATAAAAAGATATGTAACTACTCTGAGTGGAGGAGGCAGACAACCACGAGGAGCTAATTCTAGTTTTTCTTGTAGTCAGTGTGTTTTTCCACCCACTGCCCACAAGAGGCTAAAATTAGACCATTTTGGCTGCAACTAAAAAAGCAAATGGACCATCAGCACTTTATTAGGAACACCAGACTATCACTGCATAGTCCATGCCTTTGGTCTCAAACATGGTCACTATAACAACTTTTGTAGATAATATTTCAGAGTTGGTTCCAATGCCCCCAAAATATCAGTTATTGCAGGTTGAACTTGTTCAACATCAGAAGATACACATTTTAATAAACAGAATATAACACATTTACAGTTACACATTTACTATTATTATTTAATTATTAGTATTTTTTTGTATTAGTATTTTAAAATTTCTTTGCAAAGCTCTTTGGTCAACATTTGACTTGACTAAAAATGACTAATACTTCTACCTATAATGCTAATAATATCTGTGCTTGTTTATGATTGTGTCCCCCCAGAACCAGCTGCTCATAGAGGAACATTAAGTGAAGAAAGCATGAAAGGGAAATCATTCTTTGTAGCTCTGATGTTGGAAAGGTGAATCCACAACATGATTTCGCATCAGCACCATCCACTGGCCGCCATCGCCTCTTCTTCTCTGCTGGACTCCGAATATGTTTGTATGAAAGATGCACCCATACTGATACTGATCCCAGTCATCCCGTTGATACCGGGGTAAAACTGGGCATTATGTCAGTTTTTTCAGTACTTCACTTTAATATCTCGGGCAGTGTCATTTAAAGCTTCTTCAATCATGAACTCACTAAAATAGACAGATTAAGTTTTTTAATCAATTTTATCGAGTGACTCTGAATCCTTGTTTATTGTGTTAAATAGACATTAAGTATAGGATATTTAAAGGGGCATTAAGTACTTGAAGACTTTCATCATGCTCACTGAAACCATTAGGAGCTGTGCTAACTTTAACTGTTACATGTAGCCTTTTTCCACTAGGGTCATACTAATCGCCCTGTCAGAATGAAAATTCTTTAAATAGTAAGTATACCCCTTTCAGATCCTGTGAAGTGATGTTTATTTGTTAAGCAATTAGTGGGTGGTGTGGGTGGCTCCATCTCCCCCTTTTAAGTGCTGATATGAAGCAAAATCTCTTGCTTTATTAAAAAAGTAGTGGTAAAAAAGTAATAAGTCCATCTTTTTCAAAAGTTACACTCAATTCAATTTCATTTGAAGGAAAAAATATACATATCTGCAAGCATTTGCGATTTCAGCATTCTAATTACTACCATAAATGTGTTTTGTTTTATCTTGAGAACGAGGCTGTAGCAGAAATGCAGAAATGTGTTTTCTGTTGGTTAACAGCAACAACAATGATACTGAGCTTGCAGAGAAACATCTATGAATTATGTTTATAGCAAAGCAGCCCAGATGGTAGCTATTTGCCAGCTAGCTAGCCACAGCTCTGCTGCACTGCAACTGTAATGGGGATTGTTTAATGTCATTTTGCATTTATATAAACAATTCGAGTTCAGCCATGGCCCATCAAGAGTTAATCTTCACAAAACAATGTTTGAGAAGTTTTAAAGGATGAATAGAAACGTATATTAGCAAAAAATCGGATGCAGGTTAACCTGTGTAAATGAATAGATGAATAAATATAGAAGATATTTTTTCCAGTGACGGTCACACAACCTCTTTATTTTAGGCTAATACTATATTAGTTAATTTAAAGAAATCCAAACTACTATATTAACAAAGGAAATGGAATATATAAAATATAATGTAAAACAGAATGTTGCAGCTTTAAGTTAACATGACAACATGAAGACACTTAAATAGCTAAGACAATGATTAGCTACTTACTGTAGTAAGGCCGACATGTCAAATGGTTGGCTTTATCTTTATTTTTTCTTAGTCTTCATAACACACCTGTTCCAAGTATTTTAAATTTTAATCACTTACTCAGCTAAAATGTCACTGGTATTTATCCATAACTCTGTTACTCCCTACATGTTTATGTGCTAAGGAACAGTAAAAATGATTACTTATTGCCTCCTTGAAAAGTGACGTAAGGTGTTTTCACACTTAGTCCCTTTCAGTGAATAGTCAGTATTGTGATTCGCTTCAAGTTTGTGCTGCAGTTCACTTAACCTGTGCATTGTGAACACAAATCGCTCCAGGTTCATGTTGCCTTTTGCCAATGTATTTTAGCTGAAGACAAAATGGACAGAAAACAATTGGCCTGAACCGTGGCCGCTGGTAACAACAGCAAGATGGTGGATCAGGAAATAACTACTGTACTTCTGTAGATATAGAACCAACACACCAAACAGCAACGGTCTACTAAATTTAGTTTCCACACATGTCTCCGCATATGTATAATGCTGCAATATCATAACTGATCTCAGAACAGTAGAAGCTGAGTCAAAACAGCTTAAACTCCTGCTCCCTTCTGTGCTTGACAAATTCCAGCCTTTGTTAATGGGACACCGTCATGCCCATGACAATAACAGAAACGATAGATACAACACCCTACTAGTCAAGCTAGCTTCCAGAGATAATACCCCACTGCCACTACAAGAGGACAGTAAATTACATGATGAATGCAAACAGGTATCAGATCCTTTATGGGACAGAACACTGTTTTGAGATCAGATGTAAAGAGGCATATCACTTCACTTTAGTATCGTTCTAATTGATGTCTCTTTTTAGCTTTAACTGGGCTTTAACTGAGTTAAATTGAATACAATATACACTGCTTAAACAAATTAAGGGAACACTTAAATCATACATCGGATCTTGATGAACAAATTATTCAAGTTGAAAATCTTTACTGATGTACAATATATAATTTGTTGAGAACAAAATGACGTAACAACGGTCAATGGAAACCAAAATCATCAATCCACTGAGGGCTGGATTCACAAAAATTCAATTCACGAAAATCAAAGTTAAAATTTTAAATCACAGGCTGACCCAACTGAATTTCATCACGGTGATTCATAATGTGACTCAGTAGTGTGTATGGCCCCTGCGTACCTGTATGCACTCCTGTATTCACACCTGTCACATGTGCTCAGTGTGAACCTGCTGTCATTGGTGAAGAGAACAGGGCGCCAATGGTGGACCTGCCAATTCTGTTTTTTTCTGGCGAACGCCTATTGAGCTGCATGGTACTGGGCTGTGAACACAGGTCCCATGAGAGGACATCGGGAGCTCATGCCACCCTCATGGAGTCTGTTTCTGACAGTTTGGTCAGAAACATGCACACCCGTAGCCTGGAGGAGGTCATGTTGTAGGACTCTGGCAGTGCTCCTCCTGTTCCTCCTTGCACAAAGGAGCAGGTACCGGTCTAGAGAAGAATCACTAAGGAAGGATCAGGATAGAGCAACTGTCTGTGGCCACCACATGTAAAACCATTCCCTTTTGCTTCTCCATTGCACCTGTTGTCCACTTTCATTCACACCAAAGCAGCTGAAATTAATTTACAATCACTTGTAATTCCTAAATGGACAGATTGATATCCCTGAAGTTTAACTGACTTGGTTAATTGGTGTTCCCTTATTTTCTTTGAGCAGTATACACTTTTTGTCTAGTTTAAGAGGACTGAGATTGTTTCGTTTAAAAAGGACCACATGTGAAAACACACTTATTATATGTGCTCAGAAGTAGGGCTGAACGATTAATTGCTTTTGCAATAATATCGCGATATGATAAAACGCGATTTTCTAACTGCTAAGGCTGCGATAACACTCTAGTCACGAGATATGCAAGCGAGAGTAGAGCAATCGGCTAAAAGAGGGAGCAACAACTTGGCACGCTACACTTTGACCTGTTGTATAATGACCTCAGGCTCGACAGAACCTGGCACTGTGGAAACTTTAGTGTCAAAGAGGAGCAGTATGTCGGTTGTGTGGAACTATTTCGGCTTTAAAAAAGAAGGTGCAGCACAGTGTCAGGTATTGTGCAGAACCTGCCTTGCTACTGTTGCTACGTCACGGAGCAACACTACTAACCTGTATCAGCACAACAAAGTCATGTATGATAGTTACATGGCTAAAATGCCGACCACCAATGTATCAAGTAAGCCAAATACCACCGACAAGGATCACTGACCAAAATGTTTGAAAGCATACTTCCATATGAACGTAATTCAAAACGGCACGGGGAAATTACAGAGTTCATAGGGAAGGATATGATGCCTCTCAGCATGGTGACCAATCCTGGGTTTACGGCTTTGATAAATACACTGGATAAGCGGTACAGCATGCCCTCCCACACATATTTTAGCCAGGTTGTCATACCGGAGCTATGTAAAAAAAATGCAAGATGAGAGTCACAGCGGAGCTGAAAACAGCGAGTTTTTCACTACTATAACTGACATCTGGTCAAGCCGTACAGCAGAGCCGTATCAGAGTCTTACGGTGCATTTCATCAATGAAGACTTTGACCAGCTGGGATCTCCATGAAGAGACCCATGTCTGCATAACGACGGACAATTTTACATACTTAAAAGGCTGTAAACAAATCGGTCAATATACTACTGTGATTGAAGTAGTTAAATAAAAATATGTCATTAATTTCAATTCATGCATCATCTTATTTCATAATGACATATAGGCCTGGCCTACAAGAAAGAACAGTTTATGTTTAATCTATCTAATATTGTGTTAGTCATAATATATAATGATTTATTGCTTGTGTTTGTTGAATAATACAGAAGATAAGGAACTCTAAAAAATAATTGCATATTAAATCGCAATCGCAATATTGGTAAAAAAAAAATCACAATCAGATTATTTTCCCAAATCATTCAGCCCTACTCAGAAAGTCAGTTTTACAGGGGTTTGTGGAATCTCTGTCACAATAAAAATGGTACATTGGTGCATCTCTACTCTGTATGTGATATGGTATAATACCAACTTGACACTGCATGTCACATTCAGGTCAGGTGAAACGGGGTTGAGGTGGCTCGTGTTCTTCCCACAGTCACAGTGTAGATAGCCATCAGTCAGTATTTATACTGTCCTGTGTAAATCCATCTGTGCCGTCTCACTCATGGTCACCTGTCACTCTGTACAAACGCATTTGATAAGACCTCCACATACTCTCCTATTGTCTATGATATATGTTGGGTATTGCAGTGTACTGGTCACTATAGCTTTAAATAGCTTTTTTACAAGGATAATTATAGAAGGGGCTAATTATGGAATATTCGGTAACTGTCAGATTATCCATCACGCTATGTTACTCTTTTATGTAACCAGAAAAAGACGAATGGAAAAACATAGATAAATGTATGAAGTGTTGTGCACAACTGGGTTACACATTGTAACTCAATGTTAACTATATCTGTATATTTTACTTTTGTTGTAGAATATAGGACCACTATTCTACTTGGACTGCTCTAGGTAACAGCTCATCTTTATATGGAGAAGTGATACATCTGTTCTGTGTATCTGTGAAATAGATCACTGTATATTTCAAAGCTTTTTATAGTGGCATGCTCTGCTGTTGTTCTCCAGATCATTCTTTTATCAAAGTGTTCATTGGTTCCTAGTTTAAAATCAGATACTTGTTGGTATGTGTGGGTTTGGAGGTAGAAGAAATACACAATCCACTTTTTTCTTTTGCCTTGTCTCTATGTCTAAAGCAGAACCACATTAACTTTATGGACACTGAGCTATGAAGGTGGTTTCTCATCTGAATCATTGTGAACAACATGCAGTGTGATAATGCAGTTTAAATTGCCAAACCTGTCATTGTCCCTCTTACTGTTTACTTAGACTGATGACACCACACTGCTTTGTCTTTTAACTTTGTGCCAGTTGCCTTTACTTTGCTTCCACTATTTTTGTCTTGAGATAAAGAATTATTTATTTTTTGATGATTGGTGAATAAGACAACTTCTGTATGTAAACTCATGCTTTTTTTATTCCCTTGAAACCTTTGTTATTCTCATATTTGGAACATGTTTTGGATTTTCAAGGTTTGTAATTTACAGTAAACTGTTTTTGCTGTTTATGGAGGAGACTTTTACAAAATAAAATAATTGGAATGCATAGAAATTCTGAAATTCTCATCACACACCACAAAACTAAAGTGTTGCCTGGGTGTAAAATGGACACACTTTGCCAGACTTAGTGGACACCAGTGGGACAAAAATATAAAGTTTTTCCTGAAGGTGGTGCCACAGGAAGGACCATATATCAGCTGTACTTTTGAACGCACTTGAACTAATACCATAACACCATACATTACCATGCTAATTGCTACCAGTTCACATGCCAGCATTAGCTATCCCATGCTAGCTGACTCTCTTGACTTCTCACCACATACAATGCAACCAGTATTTTCCCTGACCATAAATATTACTATTGACCATACATTGTATATAAAGATGGACAAAATATGTCAGACTCTGCATACTATCTGCGTCACATTCTGCACATTAGTGATACTATACCCAGGATATTAGTCACTAGAGTGAACTGTGGCCATGAAGGGATGGACATGTACAGCAATAATACACAGATACACAGACTGTGGCATTCAGACCATTATTGATTGGTATTAAGAAGAAAACATTCTCCACACCATCACACCACCAGCCTGGACTGTTGACACAAGGCAGGTTGGCTCCATGGATTCAGACTCTGACCCTACCATCTGCTGCCTCAGCACAAATCCAGATCCATCAGACCAGCTGTCCAGTGTTGGTGAGTCTGTGTCCACTGCATCCTCAGGTTTCTATTCTTGGTGACAGGAAGTGGAACCTAATGTGGTCTTCTGCTGTTGTAGGTAGGACGTGTTGTTCACTCTGAAGCGTCTCTGCTCAGCACAGTTGTAAAGAGTGGTTATCTGAGTGACTGTAGCCTTTCTGTCCATTCCCCGCTGACCTCTTTCATCAACATAGAGCTGCTGCTCACTGGATGCTTTTGTTGTTGCTCCAATCTGAGTAAAATCTCCTCGTTTGCGCAGTTTGCGCTATTCGTGCGCAGTGATGGCCCGCGTTGGTATTCGCGCACTAACGCGTGCGCAGTCCGTACTGAGTAATTCGGCGCTGAAAAGAAGCCTAGTTTACCAGGGATACAACTAAAGCACTGCTAGCTGGGCAGCTGCAGAATTAACGAAACCAGCGTCTACTTGGTTCTTTGCTTTCGAGCATCGTGACACAGCGCAGAGTTTGAAGATGGCTGATAAAGAGGGTAGGTGTACCAGAACTACTAAACGTATAAAGCATTGGCTCGTTTTCCTCGTGTTGCCGCTTTGTGTGCGTATCACGGACGTTTAACCCAGGCATGGGTGTTAGCATGACATGCTAGCTTAGTAAAGTCTTGTCAGGAGGCTCGGTGGCGTTACTCAGCCTGTGAGTTGTTATTGGTTTTTAGTTTTTAGAGAAATTCATGTCTAACATCCATTCTTTAAGTTCAGTATTTATCCGTGAGTCAAATCCACCAAACTGAACTGTTAAGGTACCACAACCCCCTTCACCAAAACACACAGTAATGGTAGCGAGCAAAACACATGTAAGGGCTGTCCTGTCTGTTTCGGATCCTTGAGAAAGTCACTTTAACCAGCACTCCCAGACTGGCTATACTTACTACGTAATTGTAACTGAAAATTACTTTCTGGTATGTGTAAATGAGGAAGAATACACAATAGCTGCCTGTAACTTAAACTGTTGTTCTGCTAAAGTGTATGACGATGCAGTGGAGGAGCGGGTCATCAATGAAGAGTACAAGATCTGGAAGAAAAACACACCTTTCCTGTATGACCTAGTGATGACTCATGCACTAGAGTGGCCCAGCCTGACTGTCCAGTGGCTTCCAGATGTCCGCAGGTATTTGTTTTGTCTCCATTTTACTGCTTATACCACATAGTTTAAATCTAAGCACGAATGTTGACAGATATCTGTCAAGGTGCTCCAGTGTCCACTGGACCCCAGCTCCCTGGCATCTCCCCGTGACCTGAAGTTTTTCTGCAACCTGTGACAAAGTTGAGTTGTTAAGCATCATCATCTAACATACATCAATTATGGATGCTTATATCTACACAAGTTTCCAGGATTAGATAGAGCTATGGTTCTAATAAATCACAAATCACAATGACAAGCATTACCAAATACTACATGAAGAATACATACATATAAGAATACATAAGAACACATGGTACCACTTTACAATAGGACTACCCTTATAATGGATTTATAAATTGTTTATTATTAGGTTATTAATTTGGTTAACACTTTATAAATAATCAAACAATTATAAACAAGTTATAACAGTTTTCATACTGTAATGCAGGCTCACTATTTGGCAAGATCAGTAGTAGAATACTTGCTACTCATTAATCTTACTATTGACTTACCGTTATTTATGACTGGTAAAAGGAGCCATATAGTAACTCATTAAGAAATGATGGTGTGTTTCACACTGTACAATAAGACTCTTTTCACCGGTTATACATTTTTGTAACTGGTAATAAATGGTTGTAAAAATGAGAAGAGGAAACATGAAGATGGATGGATGGAGAATCACAGATATGTGAACAGTGGGACAAGAATGGATGAGCAGTTCAGCAAGTAAAGGAAGATTATCAACTGTGTTCTACCTGTAATGCTAAATTACTAAACAAGAGACCAAGCAGCAAAAAGCATCTCCATGTTAATCTCCACTGTGCAGAACAATCTGATCAACAGCTGTGATTAGAATGAGGAAGGTAAACAACACTGCCACAGCCTTAGAGTATCTGGTCATTTGATGTGATCATTTGATCTGCCACAATTATCTTAACCATTAAGATCAGTGTTGTGCACGAACGCATTCAATGAACGGTGTTCGTTGAACGTGTTCATATTTTTTTGTGAACTCTGAACAGAGTTTACAAATGATGAATGTGAACGTGAGCAGCGTTCACTCCAGCGAGAGTGAACGTTGCTCACGTTTTATGTCAGTTTTACAGCACGCCACATAACGTCTCCATAGACACGGCCCAGCTTGGCTGGTTCTAGCGGAACAGGCGGAACAGACGGTACAGACGCATCTACTACTGCTGAAGCCAGTTTGTTTGAGCATTTGAAGCAGTTTTAGCAAACAAGTGAAGACTCAGATGGATTATATTTATATACGGATTTTAAATGTAACTCATGTCTGTGATTCTTCAGTCCTATATTTATTTGGATGTGGCAATGATTTTAGGTTGGTGATGGATGGGTAGAAGGATGTTCTATTGAAAAAGACTATTGGCCTTTACAGTGCATTCCAAATTATTATGCAAATGTTATTTTTCTCAGATTTTCCTAAATAGTCGATGCAAATGACAGTCAGTATAATTTTCAAGTCATCAACCGTTAGAGTATAATTAAAATTTTATTGAACAAACCTCCCAATGATAACAGTATTTTTTTTCAAAAATAAAAAAGTCAAAATGCACTGTTCCAAATTATTATGCACAAGAGAGTTTCAAAACATTATATAGGTTGTAAAGAACCAAAAATGGTAATTTGTTGAATTTGCAGCATTAGGAGGTCATATTTACTGAAATCTAGCTATTTAAATCAAAAACATCTTAACAGGCCAAGTTACATGTTAACATAGGACCCCTTCTTTGATATCACCTTCACAATTCTTGCATCCATTGAACTTTTTTTGGAGAGTTTCTGCTTGAATTTCTTTGCAGGATGTCAGAATAGCCTCCCAGAGCTGCTGTTTTGATGTGAACTGCCTACCACCCTCATAGATCTTTTGCTTGAGGATGCTCCAAAGGTTCTCAATAGGGTTGAGGTCAGGGGAAGATGGGGGCCACACCATGGGTTTCTCTCCTTTTATGCCCATAGCAGCCAATGACACAGAGGTATTCTTTGCAGCATGAGATGGTGCTTTGTCATGCATGAAGATGATTTACTACGGAAGGCACGGTTCTTCTTTTTGTACCACGGAAGAAAGTGGTCAGTCAGAAACTCTACATACTTTGCCGAGGTCATTTTCACACCTTCAGGGACACTAAAGGGGCCTACCAGCTCTCTCCCAATGATTCCAGCCCAAAACATGACTCCGCCACCTCCTTGCTGACGTCGCAGCCTTGTTGGGACATGGTGGCCATCCACCAACCATCCACTACTCCATCCATCTGGACCATCCAGGGTTGCACGGCACTCATCAGTAAACAAGACTGTTTGAAAATTAGTCTTCATGTATTTCTGAGCCCACTGCAACCGTTTCTGCTTGTGAGCATTGTTTAGGGGTGGCCGAATAGCAGGTTTATGCACAACCGCAAATCTCTGGAGGATCCTACACCTTGAGGTTCGCGGGACTCCAGAGGCACCAGTGGCTTCAAATATTTGCTGCTTTGTAATGGCATTTTAGCACCTGCTCTCCTAATCCGATGAATTTGTCTGGCAGAAACCTTCCTCGTTATGCCTTTATCTGCACGAACCCGTCTGTGCTCTGAATCAGCCACAAATCTCTTTACTTAGTTCAAAATTTTAATAAATGAACTATGAACATGAACCAGTTCATTTTCATCTGTATGAACTGAACTTTGAGCTAGTTATTTTAAAGTGTGATAGCAAAACACTGATTAACATACTTACACAGGCTTGGTCCTAGCCGCAGAGGCCATGGGTTCGAGTCCGACCTGTGGCTGCATGTCATCCCCTCTCTCTCTCCCTGACTTTCCTGTCTCTGTCTTACTGTTCTATCACAATAAAAAGGCAAAAATGCCAAAAAAATGTTAGTGTTAACAAGCTAATAAATAAACTAGTTATAAACCACTCATAAATTCTTTACAAAGGTAGTCTTATTGTAAAGTGGTACCGACCAGTTTTCAAATTTGGGGGCGGGGCTAACTTGTTTCCCCCTGTTACTATTTATTACGTTTGTTAATTGTCAATGGGCAACAGTGTTTATAAACTGCAGCTTGGGAAAAGATAACCACATTGCATGTTACCATGTGTCCATATGCATGCATCATTTTTATGATCTAGTACAGGGGTGGCCAACCAGTCCGAGGCTAAGAGCCACAATTTTTACTGTTTTACAGCAAAGAGCCAGATTTACTGTAAATGTCACACATCAACATGATAATGACAAAAATTGACTCTCACAGAAGTAAGACCAAAGGCCAGTCATTTTCAACAATGAACACTATGTGCACTGTCTCACAAACAAACTCTCAGTTCAATGTTCAGTTCATGTCTACAAACAAAAATATAATTTACAATAGCATTTTTTCTCTTACCATGCATGTTGCTTAGTGGGACCTCTGGCATTCCTTGCCCTCAACAATCCTTTTCAAATCTGGTTTATAGTCAGTTGTTGCCACTCGAAGCAATTCCTTCACATGTGTGTCTGTCAGAACAGATCGATGCTTTGATTTCACGTGTTTCAGGGTAGAAAAAACAGACTCGCAGACGTATGTTGATCCAAACATTGACAATATCTTAAGCGCAGCCCATTTGACATTTGGGTACTTTTCCATTGGCACACTTTTCCAGAATTCAATGGTCCCTTCTCTCAAAGCAGGTTTCAGTTGGTCCTCTTCACAAAGATCGATCATCTCCAACACAGCCGCAGCCTCATCTGTGACCAGCAGGGTTTTCAAACAGACCGTCTCCGCATTAATCGGGTCGACGAGGAATGTAATCTGTGGCCTTTTCAGTTGAAGATCACGGAACCGGGTCACAAAGCTTTCATGCAGGTTTTCAACCATTGTTGCATATCTGGCTATTTGGTTATTCAGGACAGCGCCGATGACTTGCCCGCTGGCTTTTAGCAGAGTGGGAAAATGCGTTAAATCTCTCTTCTGAATATGCGTCTTGAACAGCTTCAGTTTGTTGGGAAACGCAAACACACTTTGCACCAGGTCAGGCAGTACTTTTGACTTACCCAGCAGGGTCAGGTTCAGTCTGTCCAAGTGACACAGCATGTCGACCAAAAAAGCCAGATCCATAATCCACTTGAGGTCTGAGAGCTCTGGATAGTGCTTGTCCTTCTCTTCCATGAACAGTTTCACGCCATCCAAAAGCTCAAAGAAGCAAAAAGTACCTTGCCTTTTGACAGCCACCTCACAGTGCTGTGCAGCAGCAGGTCACCTGGAAGGCCTTGGTCCAGCTCAGCGATGAGATTTTTGAATTGCCTGTGGTTAAGAGCATGTGTGCGGATGTAATTGACGATTTCCATCACAGGCTTCATGACGTTGTCTAAATTCAATGATTTAGACACGAGTTGCTCCCTGTGGATGATGCAGTGGAAATTCCAAAACTCGGGAAAAGTTTGGTCAGCTTTGCACAGCCCCACAAGCCCGTTCACAGATCCGATCATGGCTGGCACTCCATCCGTGGCTTTCGCCGTTAGTTTCGATATGGGCAGATTTGCTTTCACAAATGCAGCCATCATTGTTTCTTTCACATCTGTGCCATGGGTTCTGTCTTTTAATGGCACAATATCAAGGAGTTCTTCTTTGATCACACAATCTTTTGACACAGACCGCACAAATATTGCCAGCTGAGGCTTTTCTTGTATGTCACAACACTCATCCAATGCGACACTAAAATACTCACAGGCTTGAAGGTCAGAGTGCAACTGTGATTCAATAGCCATGTTAATGTCCGATATTCTGTGTTCAACCGTGTGGCGGGACAGTTGGATGTCTGATACTATTCGTTTTAGTTTGTCGTTTTTAGGAGACAAGATTTCAACAATGTCACTGAGGCATCTTTTGACGAAATCCCCTTCATTATATGGCTCTTTAGCCCGTGCAATGTTCCAAGCAAGTTGATACGATGCAAGCGTTACGGTCTCTGAGTGCTTCATAAATTTTTGGAACAACTGTGTCTGCTTTTCTGCCTGACCTTTCAAAGTGACCAATTTGTGCTTGCAAAGTTCAGTCCCCTTTGGAAATTCCTGGTCGATGTTAGCATGGAGTGAACTGAAGTGCCACTGAAGATTTGAAGCCTTGAAATGCACTAATAATACCTGACATATAAGGCAGAATGGCTTGCCATTACGTTCAACAAAAAAAAAAAACTCTCCCACTCTGTTAAAAACGTCCTGTGTTCATCTTCATATTTTCGTTTTGCTGTGCATTTTTTCCCTGCCATTTTGAGAGCGAACTTGGTAGGCCTACACTACTCAACGGTTCTTTCCGCCAAGTCATTTGCGTCAGATGCACGCACCATAAAAAAACACAAAATTCGACAAAGAGCCGCATGCGGCTCGGGAGCCGCGGGTTGGCCAGGCCTGATTTAATATCTCAGTCAAGGTTAAGTTTCAACTCTGAACTAATGCAAGATGGAAAACAATCAACTGAAACTATTGAGTAGTTGGATATTGAAAAGATGATTTCTTGTGACCGAGAAATTATTGTTCAGACGAACAAGTCAACACTTCAATTTGGCTGGTTTATTTGTGCACGAAGGACAGATCTGGTGCAGGGTACACCAAGTCTCTCACTGAATGACAAGACTTGAACTGCTTATATAGTATGTTGTTCTGGGTTTTGTAATTAACATCTGATAACCTTGAGACCTTTACCTTTATGTTTCACTTTTATTACTTCCACCCTCCTAAAAGGAGGTGCATCACTAAATCTCTGATGGATGTAGATAAACCCACAAACAACAATATAACCATAAAACACAGATGTGTAATGGATCCTTTGACTTCCTGTTCACCCCAATGGTCAGCAGTTTACCCAAGGTTGATATTCTTAACATCCTTAAAACCAAAGTTGCACACATGCAAAACAAATACAACCTTACAATCCTCCCTTTTTCTGTCTAAGTTTTTTTCTTCAGGGGCTGAGGTTACATGTTGATTAACATATGTTCAGTAACTCAAGCATATATATAAATAACATTAGACATCACTTATATAACATAAAATTCCTCAATGCAAATAGGGGCGAAAAACCCTATGAAAGGGAAAATCCCCTATGACCCCTAGAAATACTTTCCAGCCATCTTTAGGCGGTTGCCTTTTAGGTTTGCATTGGGCACATATTCTCTTCCATCCAATTAATTCTTTCTTTGATGTTTTCCTTTTAACACAATAACATGAATGAGTGAATATACATCATAGTGTGAAAGATGAGCATATAAATAGTCCATATTGTTGTGAGTTCTATTCTTCTGAACTATGTTCTTGCTCTTTCCTCTTTGGATCTTAATCCACTTATTGTGTTGGTACGTCGTCCTCGGATAATAAACTAGAAGAGTTATAGCTGCAGCAGCTCTTCTTCATCTGTTCCAGTCTGTGTTGTTGCTTCTCTGAGGTCCTAGGTCCACTGCTTCTTCTTGGCTCCTCGACTGTTGCATTTGGTCCCACCTTACTCTGCTTGCATGGACCCATTGATGCTGACCTTTGACCTTAATTTCCGTTCTTATTAACAGCAGGACTTGAGCTGGTGTCCTGTACCTTGGTTCCCCAGCAGTCATCATCAAGCTCCTCACCAACATGTAGCGTCTCCTTGCTGGAATGGGTGTAGTGCCTCTTCTGCTGGTACTGGCAGTGTCAATCACCTATCGATAAATACTTGGATACAACAGAGTATAAGTTCTTGACATGTTCTCATTATTTTTCCAATAATTGTGTTAGATCTTATTCATTAGAACACCCAAAGAAAATAATCACCCCACTAATACCTCGTGGGGTGACAAACCAGTAGTTATCAGCTAAGTTACTGCCTCGAGCGACAGATGAATCTTCCATAGCCTGTCCTGCACACTTCATATAATAAAAAATAATAATAAGACCTACATGTTGAATCGGCTTTCCTGCTGTCGTCACAAAGCCTGTTTTCCCAAATAATGCTAAAATCATGTGCCGTTGAAAAGGCATATTTAGAGTCTGTAAATTCTTACTGCTTTATTTCCTGCTAACAAACAAGCTCTTGTCAATGCGACTAATTCCACTGCCTGTAACTTAAATTACTCTTATGCCCTTCCCTGCAAGATTCACAACTAAATAACCACAATACAAAACCATGTCATTCTCTTCCAATGGTGTTTGTTGCAAATTTGTTCTAATACTGGATAACTCCCTACAGTCATGATCAATATGCGCATCTTCTTCCTGTTAACCCTAAAGTAATGCCTTGAAGTGCACAGCTTGATTAGTATGTGCTGCTGTTGAAATGGTGATATTTTGTATCCCTGTCAAAATATGTTCATAATTACTACGTCTCTGACTAGTCATGTGTTGCATTTAACAAAATAATATTTACTGCATGAGAAGTGTGAAGAATCATGGGATGTCCAGGTGCAAAAGTTTTTGCCTTTTCTACCATTATTGCCGCTTCTGCCACCGCACGCAAAGAAGAGACCATGCCCTTAACAATTAATGGCAGCATTTTAGAATAATAGGCTACTAGTCTCGGTCTCTCCCCATGCATCTGCACCAACACAGCTGCAGCCACATTTCCGTCCTTTGCCACATATAGATAGATAGGACAGTCAACTTATAGTCTGACAGGCCCAGAGCTGGAGCAGAACACAGCATATATTTCACATGATGAAAAGCATGTCTCATTTCCTCAGTCCACTGAATAGTTGGAGGAGTCTCTTTTAATGTAGCAGCACGTAACACAGCCTCATATGTAGCATATTCCAGTGAACATGCCCAGCAATAGTTCACAGTCCAAGAAGGAAAGCATTTCCTTCTTTGTTTTTGGCCTCCGAATCTCCTTTATTGCATTGATTCGTTCAAGTGGCAGATACCGACAACCATCTTTCAGAACATATCCCAGATAATGGACAGAGTCCTGACAAAACTGGAGCTTTGCACGCAATGCTCTGTCCACCTGTGGCCAGATGAGTTAGCAAGGCAAGAGTCCTTTGATGCAATTCTCTTGTGTTGTTGATGCAACCAAAATATCATCCACATACTGTAGTAACGCAGATGAACCAGGCAAGACCAATTTAGACAAATGTGCTTGTACTGCGGCTGCGTGAACTGTTGGACTGGCAACATATACCATGCTCAACCTTCTGAATCCCTATTGACAATTACAATATGTGAATGTAAATAAATCCTGTATCTATCAAAAAAGGAATCAGATTTCCTGCTACCTTTTTAAATTAGATTTTTGTAATTGTATAGGTATATCAGAAACTTGCACTCACATTGATATAAGTATAACAACTATCCGTGTCCCTCTGTGGGTCTCCCTATGGGTTATATCCTGCATTCCACATGAAGGAAGCGGGTCTGTGTCCAGCCTGAAACGGGGCTTGCAATGGAGGGGGTGAAGTAGTATAATCCTGAACTGGATTTTCTCTCTCTGTCTCCTTGTCTTTCTAGCTGCTGATCTAGAATCCTCTGTTCACAATCTTTAGACAAGTGACCAAACCTCCAAAAATAACTACACATATCTGCGGGGTGCGTCTGTCCCCTCCAATATAGCATATTACCATAACCACGTCCTCTTTGAATGGAATGTCCGAAACTAGGTCTATAATCTGACACATCCCATTGCTGTCGATCATATCCACGACCACGATTATGGCTTCTTATCACATTATCTTCTGCTCATCAGATTCCACTGAACAGCTTGCATTTTTGTCTTAGAATTTGTAAATAGTCCAATTGCATCTAACTCTCTTGTTTTCTTTAACAACTCTGCAGGGCTCAGTGAAAACACACCTGGAGCAAACAACTTTAAAGTGTATGCCTCTTGCGGTCCTAAACCATTAATCATCATTGAAACGAATGAATCAGCTTTATCTGAAATGTCCAATTTAGCTTCTTCTTTCCAACATTTCTGACATGTGTCACATCTTGACTCGCTGTTGCATTTTGAAATTATAATTTCTTAAGTTCTCCCAAATGAGCCTTCTTATGTGTCATTGTTAACCATGGAAATTTCTCATCCAAAGTGGCTGCTCCTTCTCCCGGACCATCATTATCAAAATGCAAAGATTCACATTTTTCAGCAGTTTACCCAAGGTTGACATTCTTAACATCCTTAAAACCAAAGTTGCACACATGCAAAACAAATACAACCTTACAGATATACTCTGCAATATGGATGCACATTTGTCAATAGACATTAACCACATCACATCACATATTCAGCCAAGCCATAGTAGAGGTAGTATTTTATATTTGAAAATTCTTTATATGTGTCAGGGGGCAGGTAGACAAGAAGAAGAATAATGAAGAATCATGAGAACTATTTGTTGTTTCCCTACTTAAATCCCTGCTCTGTTAAACTGAAAGACAAAGCTATTCGTGCTGCTGAGTACAGATTGAATTTATGTAATTACTGTGGATCTCTGCAGGCCAGAGGGGAAGGACTATGCTGTTCACAGGCTGGTTCTAGGGACCCATACATCAGATGAGCAGAACCACCTCGTGATTGCCAGTGTCCAGGTACCGAATGATGATGCCCAGTTTGATGCCTCACACTATGACAGTGAGAAAGGAGGTAAATATACCAGGAGTCATCCTGTAGGAGTACTGCAGTAGAACACTTTTCACATACATCATAACATTTGGTTAATAAAGAATGTCTGTGCAAGAAAAGAGAAGTAGGAGAAGCAGTATACAAACAAGTGTACAGTTGAATGTTTGTTTGGCAAAGGAAGGGTCACAGCTGTTCAGTGCACACCGTGTCCTCATTTCAAAGATGTTCACTTTATACCATCAAGCGTTCAGTTCCTTAAACGAAAAGGCCAGGTTGTTGTCTTTGTCTGAAACTGGTTTACACAGTGAAGGAATAAATTGAGTAAATACTGAAATCATATTCAATTCAACGCATGTGCTGAAACTGTGTTATTCTGTCTTCCAGCAGGTATGTAGATGGGTACCCTGCTGGGTGTAGGTGTGCTGATGGCTCATGCTCCTTGTTGCCATATGTATGTATAAGTATGTTAATATGGCCACTGAACAATTTTGAGGTAAATTCCAAGTCTGCACTTCAATACACACAGAATCTAGAATACATGTCAGACTAAAGGGGCAAAGGTCACTGCTTGTTGGTTTCTCTTCTGTTAGCTCAGTTTCTCTCCTTTTCAGCTTGCTGTCAAGCCCTGCTCTGAAGTTGTACTAGTTAACAGCTTTAGTACATTCACACATAGCTGCTGTCTTTAATTAGAAAATGAAAAATGTGACAAGTATATTTTTCCATGTTTAACAGTGGATGTCTACATGCACTGGCCTCAATAGCTATTAATCATAACACTGTCCAGGCAAAGTGATTATGTGATGGAAAAGAACCCTCAGACAGTAGCTCTGCCAACATGAGAGATCAAATATAGTGCTCCAAATTTCAGAGACTATAACTGGTAATTATATTTTAATGGCGATACTGAAATAATAATTCACACAATAAATCTTAAAAATGCAAAGAAGAAACACCATTTTTATATTAACTAGTGTTGAGTTGTTGCCCTTTTGATTTACCAGTCGATCTGCATTCTAGCCCTCACCTATGGTCATGAGCTGGGTGAAAACCTGATAAAGCCTTGGTTTATTGTTTATCCAGGGCAGACGAGAATACTAGGGCTACAACTAATGTTAATTTTCATTATTGATTGAGTCCAGGGTGATGTCTTCAAATGATTTTCCAGTTGATCTGCATTCTAGCCCTCACCTGTTGTCATAAGCTGGGTGGTGACAAAAAGAATGAGATCAACAGTGTAAATGAATTTTCTCCCTTAGATTTAGGGGAAAGGACATCTGAATTTTCTTAGTCTGCTGCCACTGTGACCCGGCTCTAGATAAGCAACAGAAGATGGATGGGACGCCAATTTTAAGAGAGCTCCCACCATGATCCCTACAATAAAGAATACTTTTTATTATTAGTGTTATTTTAAATATGTAGACTAATTAATATTGGACCATAACTTTTTATTGATGAACATACAGTACAAGCACTTATACTCTTGTTTTTGGTCATGTTTGAAAACTGACTGAGACAGCTAACAATGTCAGATATGCCTGAACTAGAAGACCTGTCATGACCGACCCAAATGGAGGTCTTGTTCAGGTTTCAGTTTCAGATCTAAAAGATTAGTCTGGGACAGGCACATCATGGCAGAAGTCTTGTAGTCTGCACTGGCTCTATGTTAATGTTCTGCTTATTAAATGTGTTTCCCTTAACATAAGATTGTGTTGCATTTATAGATAACAAGCATTATCATTGTCGAATGAAATATAGGGGGGCATCGACACAAACAGCAGAGAGAGACAGAAATCCACATTCAGAACTGGAGTGTGTCCCTGCTCCATCAAGGCTCTGTTATCACACTGAAATTACATTATCAGAACAATAACAGCTTCTTATTTATCAGCCAATTATCTATTGGCCATAAATAAATTATGCATCCCAGGTAAAATAGATGGTGAACCTGCAGTTGTCAACTGTCTGGTGTCCACTTCCTACCTTGGATGTATGACGCTCTGATTGTGTTCTCTCGCCAGAGTTTGGTGGATTCGGTTCAGTAAGCGGGAAAATAGAGATCGAGATCAAGATAAACCACGAGGGGGAGGTGAACCGAGCCCGTTACATGCCCCAGAATCCCTTCATCATTGCCACCAAGACTCCCACGTCTGACGTGCTGGTCTTTGACTACACTAAGCACCCGCCTAAGCCAGGTTGGATCACTGCTGTGCCTCATGATGTTCTCATTCACATAGTGAATCACACATGAAGGTGAAGGCCGTATGTTTTGTGTGTTTCAGATCCGAGTGGGGAGTGTAGTCCTGACCTGAGGCTCAAAGGTCACCAGAAAGAAGGATATGGTCTTTCCTGGAATCCCAACCTCAGCGGGAACCTCCTCAGTGCCTCCGATGACCATGTAAGTCCCTAAAACCTGATAAGACCTTGGGTTATTGTTATTGTTATTCAAGTTCACTGCTTTAAGACCTTGCTTGGGATGGTAGATGGCTGATCACAGAGGGATCATTGCTCGCCCCTTGACAGAGTTCAAACCCCCCTGCTGAGAGGGTAGTTCTCAGTTTGTCAAGGAGTGTCTGAGCTGTCTCTGATGAGAGCATAGAGTTTCCAAAGTTTTTCGACGTGGTGGCACAATTCATCTGCAGGTTAACTGAAGGATGTAAACAAACATTGGACAGGCACAGAGGAAGTCTGTGAGATTGAAAGTCTCCAAGTGTCCATCCTAGACAGGTTTTCACAGCTGCTGGTGACTCAGGAGGGCCCAGTCTGACTGGTGAAATAGGAGTGATAAGATGGATGTGATCCAAGCCTATAAGCAGCAGAGCTAATGCTTTGTTGATGATGTTGTTGTTGATGTCCTGTAGATTACTGAGTGCCATCTGCAGGATCCTGTACTTGTACTTGTACTCTCTAGTAAGGTCTGGAAAGGAGGGGCTTCAAACTTACATGTGTTTTGCCAGTAGTGTGTGCCAAGAGTCTCTGCTCTTAGGGGTGATGAAAAGTAGGGGACTGGGGTCTCAGAGGACAACACTGCCCCTGCTGGGAAGAGAAGGAAACAAGAGGCTGAATAGGGTTTTCAGCTGGAGGATTCAAAGGCTGAACACATTAACTTTGTGGGTGGCCCTCTGGTGGTGCAGCAGCAAAACTATAAGGTAGCAAGTCTTGTGAAGAAATGATTAGTTTAGTAGACCAGGTGAAGGAACTGCAGCATCAAGGATTGACAAGTTAGGAAAATGGGGTTTAGCAGAAGCAACAGCAACAGGATGGTGGCTGATCTCTGGTGGACAGGCAGATGATTGCTGTTGTGTTGATTTAACGCTTTGAAACTGAACAGCTTGCTGTTCTGCTTGAGAAACTGCTGGGTGGCTCTTCCATGTAGAGGACCCAGATTTGAATGAATATTTAGAGGAGGAAGGAGTAGATTATCTATCCATGAGATGCTGAATACCCCTCATTGTCACTAAAAGTTCCTTCATGATTTCAACCTGATCAGTAGGCACAGGATCAGTCAAATCAGTTGTCATCTCCCCTTTGACTGTCAGGCTCATGTCTCCTGTGTTCTTCTTGTGTCTCATGCTGAAACCCATGTGTGTCTATTGTCTGGTGATGCGGGCATTCTGGTTGACTTATGCATTTTGTTTGACATGCAGCACATTTAACTCTAGGATATTGAACTTCATAATCTTCTAAATGAGTAGGTGGTCGAGTGTCACGACCAGATCGTTGAAGAGTTTAATCTAATGGCTGTGAATCCATTACAATAGTGAGGCTCCGGCTCGAAGGACCATGTTAAGTATGAGCTTCAGAATTGATTTACTATCGCCATGGAAATCGGGTCAGGATGCAGGATGAATAAACAAAGGCCATCAAACATATATACAATCAAACAAAGATTTATTTCTCAGTTAATTATTTCAACATGAAAAAAGGAAGACACACATGGGCTGTGGGGTCTGACAGGATATAAAGATTAAATCAGCACAACAAATCAAAAAGGTCTCATATACTAATTAAACAAATAAGGATGAAGAGGGTTCTCTGAAACTAACAAATAAATTATAAAAAAAGAGTAACAAACTTCTTACCAGAAACTGCCGCCCCATCTGAAGGTGAAAAAAGATTGAATTGGTGGGGTGAAGCCCTTAAATAATCTTCTAGTGCCCAGGTGAATTCTATCAGGTAAATGAGGGGTGGAGGGTGAGAAAAGAAAAGCCAATCGGTGATAAGGAAAGGAAAGAAAAGGAAGTGAGGTGGGTGAAGAAAGGAAGAGGAAAATCAAAGAAAATAGGGATCCTTACTACACAACTGGATGTGGAGCTGTGAAACTGGTTCACTGTATGGATAATGTTGAAGGTATAAACAATCACCTTTTAACTTTTCACCTCAACATCTCCACTGGGATCAAACTCAGAAACTCCATGTTTGTCCTAGAAACATTAAAATATATTTTCTTAAACCTTCAACAGTCTAATTTAAAGTGTATATAGTTAGAAAATGAAATTGTTTTGTAGAACTATGTAAGGGGAATAAAAAGTCGAACATGAACATCTCAGTCTCTGAGTCAAAAAAACAGCTGTTGACTGTCCACCCATTTACAAAGAGATCGTTCATATGAAGGCATAATAATTCAGCAGTCGTGAATGGGTCTATTCAAAGCAAGAAAACGTGAAAAGACCCAATGTGACTCTTATAAACCAGACCACATGTTTGGGTTGTTTACACCGACTGAAGAAGATGGAGTACAGAAGCGATGATAACTTCGCCTTCTCCTCGGATGTAAGCAGTTTGAGCTTCGACTCGATCCCAAATCTGGAGGATTTTAGTGATCAGTAAGTGAATTATTTTTCCTCTGTCATCTCTGCTAATAGTATCACTTTCTACAGCTGAAACTTCTCCACAGCAGACTGTGAAACTGTATCATGTAAACAAGGCAGCTAGCAAAGTCAACTCATTCCCTGTAAGCTGAAGTGATAGTGTAATTAAAAATTGTCATTCTGTTATTTGTGGTACACTGATGTCCAGAGTCGATGAGTTATTTTATCTGTTAATATATTGGTTCATGTTGTGTAATATTTTAGTTATAGTTATTAAAACTAGAAAGAAAAAAAGGTGAAATTATCTCACAGTGCTAAATGTATAAATAAAATTTTAAATATCTTAGATATTTCACTTTAACAAATAGTTGAACATATGATGAAAGGGAAACTGTTCACATATTTTTTATTCATTATTTTACGGAAATGTGGAGAATATTGCACCTGTAAGGTAAAAAGTAGTGTGACTGTGACCACTGTTGTGGTTTCTTTATGTGATCTCTTTCTTTCTGATCTTCTAGAAGGCTGTGATCAAACTGGATGACATAACTGAATGCTGGGGGGAAAGTCACATCTATTCCCATCAGAGGTGATGTCAAGGGACAAATACTGGACACAACAAGTTGCAGCAAGTCCTCGTAGCTTGTAGTTTTTTTTTTTTCAGTATAGTTAGTGTATTTTTGTTGATTGACGTCTTTATTCTGCATTGTTGTTTCGTCTGAAGATGAAGAAAATAATGTACATGAAGAAAAAACTCGTGGCTTTAAAGTGCTTCAGATATGGAATTAAACATCCCTTACCGGCTGAGCTGAAGAAGCTGTGGATGCAGAGCCAGGGATAAACTACAGGCTAATAGATGGAGATATAACCATTCTCTACCATCGATCATCATGGAAAATGTCAACTCCTTGGCTAACAAGTGTGATGAACTGGAGGCACTTGTGAGAATCAGCAAACATATCATGAGTGTAGTCTCATGTGTTTCATGGAGACCTAGTTAAACGACAACAGTTGGTGCAACCCAAGTCATATCACAGTAAAGAAGATCTGCTGTCAGATTATTGAACTGTTGGCAGTTGGTCTTAAACCGTACTATGGACTGAGGGAATTCTCTCACATCTTCACCATTGTTGTTTACATTCAACCACGAGCAGAGCCTGCAGTCGTGTGTGACGTCATTCACGAGACTGTTGAGAGAGTACAGACCCAGCACCCTGATGCATTGCATCATTGCAATATTGGGGGATTTTAACCATGTCACTCCTGCCTCTCACCTGACTGGCTTCACTCAGTATGTTGACTGTCCCACAAGGGAAAATAAACACTGGATATGTTGTATGCAAACGTCCAGAAGGCTTACACTGCTTCAGCTCTACCAACACTTGGCAGATCAGATCATAATCTGGTTTTTCTTCAGCCTTCCTACAAAAATCCTATGTACTGAGGCAGGCTGTAACCACCCGCTCACTCAGGAACTGGACCCCAGAGGCCAGTGAGTCTCTAAAGGACTGTTTTGAGTGCACAGATTGGAATGTACTGGAGTCACAGGAAAACAATAACAGCTAGGACACTGACCTTCATAGAATAGTTGAATGTACCACGGACTACATTAAGTTCTGTATCACTGAATTGCTAGCAAGGACTGTACACTACTTTCCAAACCACAAACCCTGAATCACCAGTAACATCAACACCCTCCTCAACCAGAAAAAGGAGGCCTTCAGGGATGGAGACAGGGAGAAGTTTAGGTGTGTGCAACATGAGTTGAAGAGGAGATTAAAGCAGGTGAAGGAGGTCTACAAAAGGAAAGTAGAGATGAAGCTGCAGCACAACACCTGAGAGATGTGGAAGTGGATGAGGACCATCACTGGCTATAAAGAGAAGAACAGACAGGCAACATCAGGTGATGTGAACAAGGCCAATGAGTTCAACCTGTTCTACAACAGGTTTGACACAGCCTCACCTGTTCTCTCTCCCACTGCTTCAGCTGCAGCTTCTCCTATGGCATCTCCTTCACAACATGACACTGCAGCTGCACCTCCCTCCACACTGGGGTCAAGTCTCCTGTCCTTTACAGTGGAGGAGGTGAGGGCGAAGCTCAAGAGGCTACGTCCTGGAAAAGCAGGACAACCGGCTGAAATAAATGACTATGAATGCCGTCATTTACATGTCCACTGGGCCCATTTTTACTTGGATGAGCTAGGTGGTTACATTAGGATTATGTTCTTTGATTTTTCAAATGCATTCAACACCATCTAACCCCCCATTCTTTAAAACAGCTTCACGTCCTGGATTGTGGATTACTTGACAAGACGACCACAGTACGTCAAGCTGGGTAACTATGTCTCAGGGACAATGAGCAGCACTAAGTCTCCACAGGGGACTGGCTCTGTTCCTGTTCACCCTCTATACGGCAGACTTTAAGTACAACTTTGAGACCTACCACATCCAGAAATACTCGGATGACACAGCTATTGGGGTGTGTATCAGGAATGGGCAGGAAGAGGAGTTCTGACAGGGATCTGACAATGGCCTTCAGACCTCCAAGACCAAGGAGACGGTCATCGACTTTCGGATTTCGAGGCCCACCCTTCAATCAGTCAACATTCGAAAGAAAGGACATTGTGGTAGTACACACTTATAAATATCTAGATGTGCACCTGGACAGTAAACTGGACTGGTCCTTGAAAACAGATGCCATCTTCTGGAAGGGGCAAAGCCAGCTCTTTTTCCTCAGGAGGCTCAGGTCCTTTGACATCTGCAGGGAAATGCGACACATGTTTTATAAGTCAGTGGTGGACAGTGTCCTTTTTTATGCTGTAGTCTGCTGGGGCAGCAGCATGTCAGACATGAAAACAAGGAAACTGGACCAGCTGGTCAAATAAGCTGGGTCTGTGCCTAGCAGGAGTCCTACCCACCTACCTAAAGAGTGAATAATGCAAAGAAGAGTAAAAGAACCACAGACTGTCCTGGGTCAAATCTGCATATAAGGTATTTATCAGCCCCATTGAAGTCCTGTTGTAGATCAACTATGGTGCCTTGCTAAGGATGTACTGACATGACACGTTTCAAGTTGTTTGTATTTGCACACTGCAGCAGTGGATACATTGTGGAAAGAACCACTTCCACACAGGCTAGGGACTCTCTTGACTCTGTCACGTCACTGATGGACAGAAGTCAATTGGGGTCTGGATATCGTGTACAATTTCTGTATAAGCCCATAACCTTTCAATGACTTTTGCTGCCAATGCACTGACAAAGAAATCACCTAGAGGAAAGTAGCTCTGAATCATCCTCTTCTCTTTGTGAAGTGGATAGATACATGAGAGGTGTCTGCTCCACCACACTGGGGATGCAGTGCAGAGAAGACGGAGATCCAGACAGGGAGTCTCGACCATAGTCCTTTCCCTGCCCTTTACCAGTGATGGAACGCAACAAGCTCATGGGAGGTGTGGATTTGTCAGACCAGCTAATCCATTATTAAATAAAACATAGTACAAATCCTTGAAGTGGTACAGGAAACTTTCTTCACTTCTTGAACATTCCTTCAACCAATACCTTCATCCTCCACAAAGAACTCATACAACAAGACGGGCTTTAATGATGGAGTTAAATGAACAGTTGTGTGCTGTAACACAGCACACACACAGAAGACCTCTGCAAAGACCACCAGTGCTGTTCATGTGCCAGTCTCTGGGCTGAGCTCGTAAGTGAATGCAGGATGAAGGCTACTGTGCATGTTGAAGGATGCCGAGGGAAAGCAAACAAAAACCCCTTGGAAGTGCCTGTGATGTCGACCTTTACCTTCAACCAGACAGAAGCTGTTCTGAAGCTCGGCCTCCTGACTGAAAATTGTAAGATAAAGAAAAGATAGAACTTTATTCATCCCAATGGAATCCCATCCAAAATGTCGGATCATTCTAGTAATTTAATGTGACTGCACTATTTATTGTATGTTTGCGGTTTAACACAGTATTTTCAATAAACTGTTAGGAAGTCCTTTGTTGTCTCTTCTCTCACAGTTCACACTGACTTTCCAAACTGATGGAGGTGTGGGGGCAGAGAGGGCCGCAGTCACATTCCAGACTGAAGGGCCACTGCCTGACGGAGGCGAGGGGCACTATTAAGTGTGTGGACACCTACATCATTTATATTCATTGTGTAAAAAAAATAGTATAACTCCAAAGTGTTTAGACTTTAGTAATCAAACTACATGAAGCTTCTGAATGATTTAAAACTAGCCAACAAGTGATAAAATAAATGATATTACAGAACATAGAAAAATGTAGAAAACATGAGTAAAGGTATGGAGATGAGAGAGGAGCTGCTGTAGGAGGAGGAGGAGTTTATTTGTCACATCTGATTACAAGTGTGAACATTAAAATACTATTTTTTACCTAACCATCATCATTTACGAGTCAGTAAAAGGCTTATGATAGGCTACCTGACTAGCGTCTTCTTCATCTGTTGTCTTTCTCTTCTTAGAGAAGTATCTGAACAAGCTCATCTGAAAATGCAGTCAGCAGTTTATACATAATGACGTGTAGATATTAGCTTAATGCTATCAATTAGTTTACCCAAGTTAGTGTCACTGAGTTGGCCAATAAGTCTACCTTTTCTCCGGTAGTTCGCTGCCTTATTCCTCACGACTACACTTCTCTGACTCTGACCTGGTGCCTGACGTGACGTCACTTTCAAGGCCGCGCTCTCGCGAGTAATTAACTCCAATAGGATCCCCCAGCCACCCCACTCCCTCCCTCCCCTCTCCTCCCCTCCCCCCGCTGTTGCGCTCATCATCACACAGGCTGTGCTGTGAAGGTGGAGAGATGTGGCGGTGGTGCATTTGCAACAATAAAAAAAAAAAAAGAAATTTGAAGGCATGGCGGCTATGATTTAGCAGTGGCGGGCCGCCACTGCTAAATGAATGTAGAGGAAACACTGGTGGAGGAAACAACCAGGAGGAGATTGTAGTTTAACCTATACTACTGGACTGGGTTGTTTCAATATAGAAAATTCTCAGCACTAGTAGCTAAATGCCATCTACAGGGTTAAGATAACCTGATATTAACTGACACCAGACACAATGATAAACGTGATACATTGTGATGACAAATTGTGTCTGTGCTCTGCCATGCAGTGTTTTCTCAGCTTGTAGCAGATCAATGTAGCAAGGGGATGAGAAAATGCACCAACACTGTGCTTCCCCTATCATTCCTCTCCAGACCATCTGTTTATGGGACATTGGGAGCGGCCCAAAGGAAGGGAAGATCGTGGATGCCAAGACCATCTTCACTGGCCACACAGCAGTGGTGGAGGATGTTTCCTGGCATTTGCTCCATGAATCCCTGTTTGGCTCTGTGGCCGACGACCAGAAACTCATGATGTAAGTGATTTCTACTACTGAGTAGTCTGGTGTTTCTGAATGGAAAGAACATATTTATGTCAAAGATGCTTAATTTCATGTTTTATTTCTAACCAAATTGACTCACAGAGAACTTTGTTAGGAACACTGTACTAATAACGGGTAGGGCACTGAAGGGGGCACTGAAGTTCACTGAACTCACTGTCATGTTGTTGAAACCAGTTTGTGACATGGAGCATCATCCTGTTGGAAGCCATTAGAAGAAGTTGAACTGTGGTCATGAAGGGATGAACATGGTCAGCAACAATACTCAGATAGACTGTGACATTCAGACTGTGATTGATTGGTATTAAGAAGAAAACATTCCCCACACCATCACACCACCACCACCAGCCTGGACTGTTGACACAAGGCACGGTCACTCATGGATTCAGACTCTGACAGGGCTCCAGACTAACTTTTTCACTGGTTGTAGCCATGATTTGGTTGCACCTTTTTCAAATCTTGCCTATTTCTTTATGAAGGAGACTCTGAGGCTTCCTCTTCTTTAATTATGTAAAACAAAAATATGGAATCATATCACTAGATTTCAGTATTGAGGTACAATTACATTCATGATTTTTGTAAAAGCAGTAACCTAAAAAGCTGTTGTTGAATCATGAGAAAGTTGCAGAGCAACAGACACACGGATTGTTGCGGTAACCATAGTATCTCACTCACGCCTGCGTGCACACGACCCGAGGGGAGCATCATGGGAATAAATGACAAGAGCAGATTTATGGATATTTCTCACTTTCCCCCGATGGTCTGAAGAACTCCTTCTCTGTCTTGTCTGTCAGCGTCTTTATCATGCAGCAACCTTAAAATCACCACAGAAAAAAATTATTTACCCAGTGTCTAACTGTGCTATTTGTGTTATTGGAGACTGTGTATGCTACTCATGCTATTAGGTTTACTGGGAGATTTAAAAAATACTAGTGTAATATAGGGGTGTTTTGTAAGTATGCGACTATCCATCATGCAGCGTGTGAGTGTATATATATGCACTGAGTAACTCACAGTCCGTAACTTCTGCCGCTAGGGGTATCTCAATCAAAACTAAGAAAAGATAGCGTTTGGTGACGTTGTGAAATAGTGTGGGATGGGAGTTATCCTCACCACCATTACACCATGTCGCAAAAGAAGCAACCGTAGCCTTTCTGTCCACTCTCCTCTGACCTCTGTCGTCAACACAGAGCTGCTGCTCACTGGATGCTTTTATTTTTGCTCCATTCTGAGTAAAAACCAGAAGGTGGATTTACTCTGATGTGTATGGTCATTGTCCTGCTGCATCAACAGCTTCTCCTGAGCTTCAGCAGGTGGACAGACACCAGGACATGGTCCTGGAAAAGACCTGGATAACCTTGAATTCATTCTCTGATATTCACTGATAACCTCAGAGTGAATTTGTTTTAGTTGACATTAAAGACAGTACACTAATTAAAATATTCATCATGTATACATGTCGTTTACCTTTGGTGATGGTAAAGCTAATGATGATGAATGACCACTAAATTACTGTTAACAGCTCTCCACATTAGCTACTGAGCTAACATTAGCTTCATATCCTGGAGGTCCTGGACCTTCAGATTAATTACATTAACATGGTTACAGTGAACTAATGATGTCTAATGAAGAGGAACGAATGCTCTAGAGATAAGACAGAACATTAACATGTCAGACTTGTCGAGTGTATTAAATATTCACCCACTGAGCACTTTATTAGGAACAGCACTCTGATTCTGGGTAGTTCCAACCTGTGGCCTGGTTCCTGACGTGTTTTTCTGCGGTTGTAGGTTGGACGTGTTGTTCACTCTGAAGGTTTCTGCTCAGCACAGTTGTAAAGAGTGGTTATCTGAGTGACTGTAGCCTGTCAATTCTCCTCTGACCTCTATCATCAACACAGAGCTGCTGCTCACTGGATGTTTTTGTTGTTTGTTTCCATTCTGAGTAAAAACTCTTGAGACTGTTGTGAGTGAAAATCCAGGAGATCAGCAGTTTGAGAAACACTCAGACCAGCGTCTGACACCAACAAACATGTCACAGTCAGAGTCACTGAGATTCTGATGTTTGATGTGAATGTTTCCTGAAGCTCCTCACATGTACCTGCAGGATTTTATACACTGCACTCCTGCCAAATGATTGGCTGATTGGATATGTGCAGAAATAATCAGGTGTACAGGTGTTCCTAATAAGTGCCCAGTGAGTGTGTATTATGTCCGTGCTCCCTCTTACCCTCTATCCTCCACCAGATGGGACACTCGTTCCAACAACACATCCAAAGCCAGCCACTCGGTGGATGCTCACACTGCTGAGGTCAATTGTCTGAGCTTCAACCCCTACAGCGAGTTCATTCTGGCCACTGGTTCTGCTGATAAGGTAGAAGCAGCACACACACTGAACTCTGACTGATTGTGTCAGTTTTAGGCTGACAATAATGATGTACTGGGGCTAAAAAAGCACAGCTTAGGGATGAATGTTTAATGCAAAGATTGTTTTGTTTCTCAGACTGTTGCATTGTGGGATCTAAGAAACCTGAAACTCAAGCTCCACTCTTTTGAGTCCCATAAAGATGAAATTTTCCAGGTAAGGTTAAAATGCTTCCATGTGTTGTACAAACACAATCTTACAGAAGCCCTGAAGGCAAGTGAATTTTATCTTTGTTTTGATTTTAAGAATAGGAAGTAAGTGAATAAACATGATGGGATTCAAACCCCAGTCTCCTGGGTGACAGTCCTGTGTCTAACCCTGAGGACCTGCTCTGCTTTGTATCTCTTTACCTCCTCTTTGCCACCTCACCAGAGTACCCAAAGCATCTCTGGTAGAAAGGCTATGCTGATTTTAAAGTAAGTTTTTAGTCAAAAGAAATAAGAGAAATTAAATATCACCCTGATTTAAAAAAAAAAAAAAAAACATGGACACTTTTAGTCCTATTCAGATTGGGGTAGTGGTGTACTTCAGCCTCTTGTGTAACACTTAAAATTCACTTGCCTCTTAGGGCTTTGGCAGGTCTGTGCCCTCCTCACAGACACTGAAACCAGCTGACATTAGACTGAAACCAGCTGACACTAGACTGAATGATAATGACATGGTCCAGCCAGATAATAGGTTTTGACATAATGTTTTATTTCAATTTGAATGTGCTGAATAGGGCGATTATCTGACGTAATCGACGTTGTCGATTATAAAAATTATTCGACGTGGAATTTTAGTGTCGACGCGTTGTGTAAAACCACACAGGCTAAATGTTCATAGAACAAAACCGGAACTTTCTATAGGACCGTTTATATCCATCGTCTTTGGTTTACCCGGATACAAGCGCAGCGCAAGGGCTGGGACAACGCGGTGACGTAATTGAAGTCATTGACTACGTGAATGATTTGCGTCTGTAATCTATTTGAACAACATGGCGGCGTCTACCAGCAGTACGACAGAGCGCGTGGAGCAACACGCAGCAAAAAAGGCTTGCACACTACTTGCAAATTACTGTTAGGTTAATAAAAAAATTATAGTTAGATTAGTCGAATAATCGAAAAAATTATCGCTAGATTAATCGTTTAAAGAATAATCGTTTGGGACAGCCCTAGTGCTGAAGCAGAAGTGGTCATGGGAAAATTATATGGAAGAATACTGTGAGTGTAATCCCTTAACAGGTCACCTTGTAGTGAAGTTGAAGTTAGAATGTGATTGACTGGCTCTCGGTAAAATCGGGTGGCACTGAGAGGAAAATAGCAGCCTGTGGGCTAAACCTGTTAGTTCCAATATTTGTCTCTCATAGTGAACTTCAACCTTAATGATGCACAGATCTGGGTCACTCAAACACGTGGTGGTCAAACAGAATCTTTGTAGTATGGACATTTTTTTCTAAGGCAACAATAACAGTAATTTCATTCAAATGCTCACTCTCATTCACTCTCTAGTTTGAGAAACGGACTGCTCTCTCTCTCTCATTCTCTCTCACTTTTTTTTTTTTTTTTTAAACTTGTTGGGAAGACGACACCAAGACTAACCTTGGTTTTGACAATAATTAACAACCAGAAATATCTGACCCTCATCCTTATATTGATACTTGAGTACTGAGTGATGGCCAGGGCTGAAAACTTAATCCCCAAAGTTCCTTAAAATTTTGAAAGGGCAGAAACATATGACCAGGAACTAGGGTTGTCATGATACTAGAATTTCAAACTCGATACCGATACCCAGGAAAATACTAGATACTCAATACCATTTTCAATACAGCGGGGAGAAAAAATTACAAAAAATTAAGATGCATAAAAAAATGTTAAATAAAGATTAGAACAATACAAACAATAACATCGACAACACTATTTATAGGTTGTCTGAGGTAGTGGAAAAAAATAAAAACCCAGTAACCTTACTGTAAGGTGTATATATACATGACATGCAAATATAATTTGCTACAGTCCTGTGTATTTTCTGTGCTTCTGATAACCACATTTTCGTTGCTGATCAAATGGAGTTGGTAGGGTAGGCTACCGCTCTTTCTGTCTAGTTAAAAAATAACACTTTTCAGACACAAATTATTGTGTTATCCTGTTAAATTAACACTGTCTATTAATGTTAAAGACGAGCAGAACTGATAACGTTTGCTGCCTAGCTCCCAATTAATGTTGGTCGTTTTATTATTAGCCATAGCGGCTAGCTTAATGATAACTTAGCAGACGTCTAATGTGACTGTCGGCTAATTGTTAATAGTTAAACGGCTCACGTTAACGTGTGCTGCCGGCCAGGTAAAATAATAATGCAAAATAATTCCAAATGGCACTTTTGCTTTTTTCATTTTCAACTAAAACAGGTTGTGAAGGTCCTTCAGCAGCAGCACTTGCCATGTTAATTTAGTTTTATGATGGCGACGCCAGCTCAGTGTTGTAAACGTGAACTAGCATTTGTGTGCTCAGCTGCTAGTGAGGGAAGGGGCTGTGTGTCTGCATGCCTGCCTGTCTGCAGTGGGGCTGTATGAAGTTGTGTGTCAACTGGAGGAGGCTAAGACGGCACTGTTGGTATTGATACTGTCGCAAATGAGTATCTAATACAATACTAATTTTTAGTATCGATTAGTATCTGAGTATCGATTTTTTTTTGACAACCCTACCAGGAGCATATTCTCTCCTGTTCCTGTCAGTCCAAATTTAGGTTTTGTTCCTCCGTTCCTCTGTTACTCAATAGAGTCTTGGTTCCCTGGGAAAGCTTCTGCAGTGGAAATGCCTTATTAGTGTTGCATGGAACCTACATACTTGTATGATTCTTTTTCCCCCCTAATGTATTCATTAGAACTGTCTAACTGTCCTTTTTATTAGGTACAATGGTCTCCTCACAATGAGACGATCCTGGCCTCGAGCGGCACCGACCGACGTCTCAACGTCTGGGATCTCAGGTACAGACTGTCCACCATCTCTTATAATCCCCGTCTTTATGTGAACCAGTGATGGGAAGTGTTTTTTCAGGAGTTTTTAGAAGCTTATGTTCAATGGGGAATTGTATAAAAAACATTCTGATCAACATCATGATATTAACATGATGACTGTAGTGTTTAATTCCATCTTATTGTTTGGAGCATTGTTGTCAATTTTGCAGCGCGCCATTTGAAGCAGTCGCACATCGTAACGACCGCCGGGCACTGTGTTCATGGGTTAAGATTTATTGTTCAGACCATGTGGCCAACCGTTTTTATATGCATTCTTAATTGTGACCTCTAGGTGGAGCCAGAGACCACATAATAGGCACACATGAGGCTCTGTATCAGACCTTACAATAGAAATGTCATATATATGATAGGATTGTCACATGAGAGTTACGTCCTGTTTTCAGTAGGTGGTGCTGTTACTATAGTGTAATATTAGTATGCAGAAATCTAAAGTGTGAGACTCATCAAACATGTAAAATTTGGGGAAGTTTGGACAAAGTGTCATAGTTATAACCACTTGTAGATGTATATGTGTTCAGGGTGGGAGTCTCATCAAAGCTGTAAAGTTTCGGCCTGTTTGGACACTGCATGCTGGAGTTATAGCAACTTCCTGTTTCATGGTGAAGGATCGAAATTCGGAATGCCACCACGGCCAGGTCCTTTGATGAAAACTCAAAAGCTCTGCACTGTAGAATTTCACCGGTCTGAAGATGAGAATAAACCAAAAATGATCTTGGAATTGGACAATATGTCCGGACATAAAGCCACTTCCTGTTTCATATATAACTTGCCACCAGAGCCATGCCCTTAAGTGAAAAGTCAAAATTGACATGCATGAAGCATCACCATCTTCAACAAATCTTTTTCTGACCCTTTTTTGAGGGCCGGGTCAACTCACTAGGAATAATAAATGAAAATGTAAATCATAATATCACGTTACCATGAGGTGGCACTATTATTAAATATGAATATAGGTCTGTTCAGGCCAGGACTCTTATCAAACCTAGAAACCATGGGGCCATTTGGGTAATGCATGCCGGAGTTATAGCGTGTTGAAATTTCATGTTTCCATGTTTGGATCAAGATTTGATCAACCTGCTATGAGCACTATATCAAAGAATAAAACATGACACTTCCTGTTTCCACAAGGGGGCGCAATGAGTATCACTGAATATGAGTATATGAGTGTGTTCAAGGCAGGACTCTTATGACACACAGAAAGTTTGATGCAGTATGGACAATTTGTGTTGAATGAATTCCCTAGGAGGAATTTGTTAAAGTACGTGACCCCCAAATCGCAAAAACGGCGCCAAAATTGCAAATTGAATTCAAAATGGCTGACTTCCTGTTGGAGGTATAGCAACTAATTGTTTCATGGCGAAGGATCGAAATTCGCCGTGCTGCCATGGGCGGGTCCTTTAACGAGAACTCAAAAGCTCTTCAGTGTAGCATTGCACTGGTCAGAAGATGAGGATAAACTAACATTGATCTTGGAATTGGACAATATGTCATGGACATAAAGCCGGTCGGTGCTCGGGTCCTAATAATTTGTCACTACTGTTTTCACCCACCCAGACTGTTAATACCCAATTGTAGACGACACGTAACCCAGGTGATACTAATGTATGGCTGTAGTTTTCATGAAGATCATTACATGACTTCAGCTCAAACTTTATGAATGGTTATGCAACACTGCTCACACAATGTGTTAAATATGAGTGATTTTAAAGTGGAAACATCACAGTAGACCAGAAGTAACTTTACCAATGAACTCTGTTTTTGTTGGATTTTCTTCAAGTAAAATTGGGGAGGAGCAGTCAGCAGAGGATGCTGAGGATGGCCCTCCAGAGTTGCTGGTAAGTGACATCAAGATTACTGTGGCGTTTTATTTGAACTCCCTTTAAGGCGGGTACACAAGGTGAGATTCTGTCTACTGTGTGCAAACATGTGGAGAATATTGATCAGGTTTGTCAGGCTGCACCTGTGCAGTCAATAAACCGTCACATCACTGACCACAATCATCAGTGAGACAAGGTGACACAGCTTCTGAAATGGACCAACCTTTACATTTGAGGTAAACTCTGGATGTTATTAAAGTGTATGAAACGTCCGTCTTTTTCTCCATCAGTTCATCCACGGAGGCCACACAGCCAAGATCTCTGACTTCTCCTGGAACCCCAATGAGCCCTGGATCATCTGCTCGGTGTCCGAGGACAACATCATGCAAGTCTGGCAGATGGTGAATACAGCTGATTGATTGATTCTGATCAGTTCCTCCTCAGGCAATATCAACCCCAAGTAGAACATCCATCAGTGATGAGGGTTAGTTGTCCAGTTGACAGGCTGATTACTGGTTGTACTGGCACAGTTTGATGTCCTCACTGTCAGATCTATGGTAAGATCTTCAGTAGCTGCTGATGAGAGCTGCTTGATGTTCAGGAGGAAGTTTGGACTCTTCTTCCTCACAGAGCTGCTTCAGTCAGACAGATTCAGACAGATTCTCAGGCTGTTGTGAGTGGATCTCTTCAGGTCTGGGCTCTGACTGGACTACTCCAGAAGGTGGATTTACTTTGATGGGTATGGTCATTGTCCTGCTGCATCAGCAGCTTCTCCTGAGCTTCAGCAGGTGGACAGACACCAGGACATGATCCTGGAACAGACCTGGATAAACTTGAATTAGTTTTCTCTGATATTCACTGATAACCTCAGAGTGAATTTGTTTTAGTTGACATTAAAGACAGTACACTAATTAAAATATTCATCATGTATACATGTCGTTTACCTTTGGTGATGGTAAAGCTAATGATGATGAATGACCACTAAATTACTGTTAACAGCTCTCCACTTTAGCTACTGAGCTAACATTAGCTTCATATCCTGGACCTTCAGATTAATTACATTAACATGGTTACAGTGAACTAATGATGTCTAATGAAGAGGAACGAATGCTCTAGAGATAAGACAGAACATTAACATGTCAGACTTGTCGAGTGTATTAAATATTCATCCACTGAGCACTTTATTAGGAACAACACTCTGATACTGGGTAGTTCCAACCTGTGGCCTGGTTCCTGATATGGTCTTCTGCTGTTGTAGGTTGGACGTGTTGTTCACTCTGAAGGTTTTCTGCTCAGCACAGTTGTAAAGAGTAGTTATCTGAGTGACTGTAGCCTTTCTGTCCATTCTCCTCTGACCTCTGTCATCAACACAGAGCTGCTGCTCACTGGATTTTGTTGTTTGTTTCCATTCTGAGTAAAAACTTTAGAGACTGTTGTGAGTGAAGAGATCAGCAGTTTGAGAAACACTCAGACCAGCGTCTGATACCAACAATCATGTCACAGTCAGAGTCACTGAGATTCTGATGTTTGATGTGAATGTTTACTGAAGCTCCTCACATGTACCTGCAGATGTTGCACTGCTGCGTCATGATTGGATAATTTGCATGAATACGCAAATGTACAGGTGTTCCTAATAAAGTGCTCAGTCTACAGCTCAGATGGTAAAGTCAGGATAATCTACATTTCCATGGCACTTGTTCTATCAGTCCAATAACATTTTTTCTGAATGTTTCCATTCTCTAATTAATTCTCCTGATTAATGTAATGTAAAGTCACCTTCATCAAAACCTCAACACTTCCTGATGTTTTCCACATTAAGAGATTGCCTATAAAGGGAAAGCTGCAAGACGTTTAATTCAAAAATTCTGGAGGAAGTGTTGTTGTAATTCATGGTAGCTTTTTAAAGTGGACTGCCTGATGTGACTGCTCTGGGGAAATGGATGTTATACTGAGTTTATAAAGACAACAGTGCAGTTTACATTAACTTAAATATAGTTTGAGACACCTGTGACATCAGTTAAGTGAGTCTGTACATAAATGTTGGATATTTCATTTCCCTGATGTTCCAGGCGGAAAACATCTACAATGACGAAGAGCCAGATAACACCCCCGCATCAGAGCTGGAGGCGCAGGGATCTTAACCCAGCTCTGCATGAAACCCTGTCCAGGTTCAACCCCTCCTCCACCCCCTGAGCTTCAGACCTTCACCTCCCTTTCTGGCTTAACTCGAGTGCAAAATGAAGAATTTGCCTCTACATGGATGAACAGTGTGGAGGGTCAGAGACAGCATGGACTCCACTCTTGCTAACAGACAGTTGGACTCAGTCTTATCTTGCTCAGACATCCCTGTGGCCCAGGTACCAACAGCACGTACGCACTCATTACAAGATTTGAGATGTGCTCAGGTCGTTTCTCCAGTGTTTGGAGAATTTCAAAGGAGCAGAAAAACTTAAAAGTAGACAAAGCTACTAAGACCACTTCATCTGTTCATTTCAAAGGGATCATGTGAGGAAAATTAAGTGGTATTTTACCATTTGACTCGAGTCACCAGGAAACCACTGAGAAGGACAACAGAAGACACCTGACCTCCATCCCTCTGAACTGTGACAGTGAATCTACCCATGCTGGTCATGTCCATAAGCTTTCTTTCGTTTTTGTTCCGATTGCACATTTAGCGACATATCACTGCTGTCCTCTGAAGAAACATTCCCTGTTGTATTTTCCTCCTGTTCATTAAGTCTTCAGTATTCGGCTGGAGTGAAAGTGTGGGACTAAATTAATGCACTTGAAGGGAACACCTCTTTTCCTCTTCCTGTTACGTAATGCAAAATTACAATAAAACTTTTGTAACTTTTCAAAAATACATTTATATAAAATTGAGGAATGCTGCACATGCAATCGACACCTCCTGTCCACTTCACTCACACCAGACCCAGTAATAAATCCATAGTGAATAGAAACTGCAAATTCTACAAAATATTTATTGAAAAGAAAGACAGGTACAATCAGGGGGTGTGGGCTTCTTTTAGTAAAAATAAAGCTCTCTGAAGCGATGGTGACTCGTGCCTCTTCTTTCACAGTTAGTCTCACCTACAGAGGTAGATTCTGACATTACCTGAGAGTCAATCTGGGACAACGCCAAAGAAACAGTTAAGAGACGCTGAAAAGCATTTGCCCATCTCAGAGTGTGACAGGAACTGTTCTCTGCCTGACCCTCTACCTGTTTGTTTTTAAGTCCTTGTCATGTGGAGATAAACACAGAAGGAGCAGGACATTAGAAAGGTCAGGGGAAGGTCTATGTACATGTTTAAGGAAAGTTATTTGTCACTACCCCTTTAACGCTCATTGATGCTACAATATAGTGTGTTCAGACAGGACAGAGAGATGACTCTAGAACAGGTTAAACAAAGCTCTTAGCCAACACATGATCTCAAAGCAAATGGAAAACAGAGTTATAAAAAATGCTGATCTCGGCTCACTCCAGTGTTTTATACCCAGCCAATCAAGGTGTGAGCAGACCACCATGGAATCAGGTGCTATGTTCAGGATATTGGAACTATAAGTGACCTGTGTAATGGAGCGGGTGAGGTTTGATTTGACAATGTGGTCCCAATAAAATCAAAGACGAACATGAGCAGAGAGGATGTAAGAGTGTGAGCTATGCATCAAACACAAAGCAGAGACACAATCCCACAGTATAAAGCAAGATCCAGAATCTGATATGACCCCCATCTTGACAGACTTCCTACAGTCACCACATCAGGATTCTACTCATGAACCAGAACAGCAGCTCCTGAAAGAGCTCCTATTAATTTGCATCACTGCTGGAAATCAACATCTTTTTATTCAAATGCATTAGAAAAGAAATTCACACTTTTCTTCCAGTGTAAAGTTTCAAAAAGGATGAGGCCTGTTCCTCTGATGTAATAAATTGTCATAATTTACATGAAATCATTAGTGAGTGGACAAAGGCTCCTGTCTGTCGACCGTGTTGTGAAAATCAAAAAAAGAAAATGCTGAACTGAAGATTTAAATCAAGCGACACATTTAGCACTTTACATTCACTGAGTATCATCATGTTAGTCGTCAGCAACCCATAAAATAACAAATCTTTCATTTTATGGATCAATTTCTTAAGTTTGCGTGATGCTGGGATTTTTCCAAAACCAGATAGATGACTAGAGGAGTGCAGTGAGCAGTGCACTGAAGCATCTGAGAAACAGAGTGGAAGGTTTTCACTTGTTCTGCACCTTCTAACCAGCATCACCTGTTTTAGGAATCATTTTGCTTCGACTCAAATTAAATAAAAACATATCGATGTTAAAATTTATGATCAATTGAATATCCACTGACCAACACAGATTCTGTAGAGATACTGTAGCCTAAACTACGTCCTACTTCCTGTTGCAGCTCCTCAGCTCTCACATCACGTTGTGACTGAGGCTTCATTAACACAAATTAACTGATGAGAAGATGCATGTGATACACTCCCATGATGATGAGTGAAACTACAGGGAGGGTTCTTGAAAAGAGAGAAATAAATGGGCAATCTGACTTTGAACTGCTTGGACATTTCCTATGAAAATACAGTTGTGGTAGAAAAGGGAGTACGAAGTGCTCGTCACAAAGCCAATCATTAAAACCAATCAAAACGTGGGCAGACTTCAGGACCTTTGATAGTCATATTTTCATCACACACACACAAACACACAAACACACACACACACACACACACACACACACACACACACACACACACACACACACACACACACACACACACACACACACATACACACACACACACACACACTCAGTCCTGCTGTGTGGTCATCTGGCTGCTTGTCATCATCATCGTAGCAGTAGTGGTTTTGTTGGTAGAAGAATCCACTTCAGGTGGTCTTGGAGCTTGGTGGATGCCCTCTGCCTCCTGCCTGTCGCCCTGTGCTGAGCTGCTGCCTTCTTCTTCTTCCTCTTCCTCTTCCTCTTCCTCCTCCTCCTGTTGTTCAGCCTCAGGAGGAGCTGTGGTCCCTTTGTCTTCCTGCTCCTGCAGGAGGCTGAGTCGGTTGTTGAGGTCGTTCCTCTCCTTCTGCAGAGCTCTGCACAGCCGCTCCAGCAGCTCCAGCTTCCCCTGCAGGGCCTTGAAGTGGCCATCACGCAGTGTTTTCTACAACACAACAAAGGTCATCTGTCACCTTGGAAAGCTAGAAAAATAGTAAATTAACCTAGAGATTACTTTTTCAACCACATCTCCCAGTCTTCAGACTGAGCATGAGAATCTGAAAGCTCAGGAAAAAGACAGTAAGTGAATCTGGAGTGACTGATGTTTTCATCGTTTAGTTAACACGAAGGAAATTAAGAGAAACAGGATTTAATTCTCTTTTCTGGACAGAAGAAACTTTGACAAATGCCATGAAAAGAGTCAGCCACTTTTGTGTAACAGAAGGTGACAGGTGATGTTTCCATCACTGCTGATAAATACCTGTGACCAATGCACAGTCATGTGACCTGGGACTGACTTCTGATTGTGCCGTTCACATTAACAACAGCAGCCAGATGTTTGCAGATGGTAGCAGGTTTTCAAGATGTGTAAACAGAATTTGAATGTTGTAGCTGGTTGCAAGCAGAGTCTGATAACTGGCCCTAAAGCTACACTTGTTTTTACATTAGCGTCTGATTAAACTAATGAACATTAGTGAGCTGTAGGTGTTATGAGAAGTATTTTTGAACAAAGCTAACTGTGTTTCCTCCTCCTTCCAGTCTTCATGCTGAGCTAACCATGAGAAACTTCGAATCAGTATTTTACACTGACATGAGACTGATATACAGTACACAGAAGGAGAGAGAGCGATGCTGAACCTTAGCAACAGCTATAAACTCTGTGCAACGCAGTTTCATGCTTTGTATTGGAACCATGTTAAACTGCATCACCCCTGTTAACTAAATAAATAAACTAAGGTAATAAGTCACCTCCTCAGCCATCTGCAGCAGGGCCTGGTTGTTACTCTCCCACTTGGTCTTCCACTGAGTCGTTTCCTTCTCCAGCTTCTTGATCTTCTTGGTCATCTGGGGGTAAATATACAAACAGAACCTCACTGACAGATGATCCACCAAGACAGGAAGTTCATCATTTTAGGGGCAAGGCCATTTGGTCTTCAGTGTTACAATAATGTTTAAGGCAAAAAGGCTACTGATCGATGTGAAAAAACAAGAAAACACATGACATGAAAAACATAAATTATTCACTTTTTAATATAAATAAAAAAAACATATTAAGGTGCCATCTTGTTATCATGTATCAATTTACCAGAATCTATAAATATGCAAATATATTTAATTTCAGAGAATCTCAGCAGATGAATCTAAGAACAGTCTTCAAGTATCAATCTCACAGAAATCATTTTATACTGTAAAGTTATTAAAGTTATATTTTATCTTTAGTTTCGTGGGCGTGAACATGTACCATTGACAAGGACTCGAGCTTGTCAATTTGTCCATGACTCAGCTCCAAGCATATGGAGATCAGTTATGATATTGCAGTGGAAACTACGTGTGTGGAAACTGAACTTACTCATTAAGCGTTAAGAGGCAGCAGTAGTAGGTCAACAAGCTAATTACACTGATTTATCGTCTCTGTGTGAGATCTGTTGGGAGTTTGAGCCAGAATATTGTTACAGGAGTAAAACCATTTCTCACCTTTTCCATCTCCTGTCTGAAAGTGGTGAAGACCTCGTTGCTTTTAGCCAGAGTGCTCTGGAACTCCTCAAACTTGTCCATGTACAGGGAGAGCTGAGGGAGGAGATGAGAGCAGTGAGAGCAGGACTGAAGGTGAATACAGAGTTTCTATGTTCCCTCAGAGACCTGATCCCTGAGGACCAGTTTGTCCTCACCTGCTGTTTGAGCTGATTCTCCTGCTCCTTCATCAGCTCACACTTGCGTCTGGACTCTGTGGCGTCCTTCAGCAGCTGAAGCATCACGGCACAGTCAGTTCTGCTGCTCTCACAGTTCACACACACTTTCACACGCTGGTATCTGATAGCACAGGTGTACTCACAAAGTCGCGCTCTCTCTGCTGCTTGTCCTCCACTTCTTTCATCATCTCTGTGATTCTCTGCAGCTTGGCGTCCATCAGCTGCTGCTGCAGCTCCTTGTGCTTGAACACCTTGTCTATGTGCTGCAAGTGGGAAATGCAAACACACATTTCCACAGGACTGTGACCAATTACAATCATCATCAATACACTTTTCTTCTGAAGCTCCATTAAACTGATGTACTGTATTTTTTTCATGAACTCCAAATGTAGATCGTTTGATCAGTTTTACAGTCTAAGGTTCATAACAAACTTCAGTGTTTATATCAAACCTCCTGCCACTGCTTCACATTAGAAGCCTTCCAGTGCTTTAACAGTAAAACAGCAGCCGAACAGCCTCTTAACTTATTCAAACACTAACGAGTTTCAGTGGTGTTGCTACTCTTTTTTAAAAATCTGTTTTCAACCAGGAGAAAACTTTGTACAGAGGACAGAGACACTGAGCTAACTCAGTAGCCATGGTTGCAGTATGAGGGCAATGCTATGTTGTGTGCATAGTGTAAGCAATGTGGCCCGCTGACAGACAGAGACAGACAAGACAGAGAAACAGAGTTCTTCAGACCATCAAGGCAAAGTGAGAAATATACATAAATCTATTATTGTCATTTATTCCCATGATGATGTGTGTGAGTGGGTTACTATGGTTACCACGACGCTCTGTGTAACTCTGAAACTTTGTCATGATTCAGTAACAGGTTTTTAGGTTAGTATGCTTTTACAAAAATCATGAATCTTGTTGTAACTCAATCCTGAAATCTAGTGATATAATTTTTCATTTGAACATAATTAAAGAAGAGGAAGCCTCAGAGCCTCCTTCATGAAGAAATAGGCTAGACATAAAAAAGGAGCGTCCAAATCATGGCTGCAACCAGTGGAAAGTAAGTCCGGAACCCCGCATTGCATATGGTGTACATTATATCAGTCTCACATATTTTGTAAAAGTTCCACAGGGTAGACATGTTGTTTTGTTTTAGAGGACTGTTGCACACCGATGCAGTGAACAAGGTGGGAGGCAGGACTATACTACACAGCACACAGTGCTTCTCTCAGCCGCAGACCACAGGTGATCAGTTTTAAGGTGATCAGTGACTAGGAGCATTTATGCCGATCTACCTATTACGTATTTTTTAATGCAAATCGGTGGATCATGATCAGCGGCCAATCAATCGAGGCTTCCTTACTTTCTTATAATATCCAAGCTCCACATGAAAACACACTCAGAGTTTCTGAACTACATTATCTATGAGTTCTGCAGTAGAGGCTGTAGGTTGTAAGTTGTTTTTGTAGCAGTAGTGACACTCTTCAGGTTTTGGTATCAATACCAAAATGACACCTTTGTGGATACGTTTGTTCACTGAGTCTAGTTTTACAGTGGAACACTGATACCACAGCAGAGCCAGGACAGGTTATGTTGGCTCTCACCTCCTCTCTGAGCTCATACTGCTCTATGAGCTTCTTGAGCTTCTCAGCCAGCTCCATATTCTCCTGCCTCAGCTTGGTGTTGTGGGAGCTGTGCTGCTCCATCTGCACCTCAATATCACTTAAGGTCATCTGGAAGTGCAGCATGGCCTCCTTCCGCTGTTCCTCGTACTCCCTGGACCGCTGCGCGTTCTCCTCCTATCAGCAGACAGAGAGGAGAGTTTAAGAAACAAGGAGAAAGGGAGACAAAGGTCAACTTGAACATGGTCCCTCCAACAAGGACAAAATAAAATGGACAAGAATTAAAAGAGCAAACACCAGTGCTGTTTGGATGCTGAATAAAGATTTTTGGCTTCCTGACACTTTCATCTGGATTAGTCTGAACATACTTCATTTTTTATAATGATGTATGAGAGTGAAAAAAGTGGCAGCACGCACAGAGCCATGTATCACGTTCATGGTCGTAGCTTTCTAACTGGACAAACAGAATGTCAGCACCCAAACGTGTTTCAGCTGTAAGCCATCAGCAGTGTGTGTGTGTCCTGGTGTCAGAGTGAGCCTGCTGGGTATGCGCAGTGGGCTGAGTTGTACCTTCAGCGTCTTGTTGTGCCTCTGCAGCTCCCTACAGAGGCTCTCCAGCTTGCTGCGGGCTAGGATGGCTTTACTGTGCTCCCCCTGCAGGTGGATCTTCTCCTTCACAATCTGAGACTGCTTCTTCTGCAAGGCCTTCAACCGCTTCTGCATGCAGCGGCTCTCCTCAAGCTGAACACAGTTAACATCAAAAACATCACATCTGGGTTAGACATGCTATATTTTACCTTTTACATACATTCAGAAAATTACCATCTTTTCAGTGTTGGTGTAATTTGGATTTGAAATCGATTTGAAAGTCTGGCTTTAAAGTTTACCAGATATGGAGTTAAACATCCCATACCAGCTGAGCTGAAGAAGCTGTACTGTGGATGCAGAGCTGGGGCTAAGCTAAAGGTTAGGAGATGGGATTTTTAAGCCTTTTCTACCATAGATCCTCATGGGAAATGTCAACTCAATAGCTAACAAGTGTGATGAACTGGAGGCACTTGTGAAGAACTAGTGAGCATATCATGAGTGTAGTATCACGGTGTGTTTCACGGACACCTGGTTAAACGACAACACTCCCGACCGTTGTGTGGATTTACCCGGCTTCACTGCAGTACAAGCGGACAAGATCTGCTGTTGGGATATTGAACTGTTGGAAGTTGGTCTTAGACCGTACTATGTACCAAGGGAGTTCTCACACATCATCGTCTTTGTTGTTTACATTCAACCACTAGCAGAGCCTGCAGTTGCATGTGACATCATTCATGAGACTGTTGCGAGAGTACAGACTGAGCACTCTGATGCATTCATTGCAATATCAGGGGATTTTAACCATGTCACTCTCATGTGTCACCTGACTGGCTTCACTCAGTATGGTGACTGTCCCACAAGGGAAAATAAGACACTTGATCTGTTGTATGCAAATGTCAAGGAGGCCTACACTGCTTCAGCTCTACCACCACTTGGCAGATCAGATCATAATCTGGTTTTTCTTCAGCCTTCCTACAAACCCTGTGTACTGGGGCAGGCTGCAACCACCCGCTCATTCAGGAACTAGACCCCGGAGGCCAGTGAGTCTCTAAAAGACTGTTTTGAGTGCACAGATTGGAATGTACTGTTGGAGTCACAGGAAAATGATAACAGCAAGGACCCTGACCTTGATAGAATGGTTGAATGTACCACGGACTATATTAACTTCTGTATGGACACTGTAATACCAGCAACGACTGTACACTGCTTTCCAAACAACAAACCCTGGATCACCAGTAACATCAACACCCTCCTCAACCAGAAAAGGGAGGCCTTCAGGGTTGGAGACAGGGACAATCTCAGGTGTGTGCAACATGAGCTGAAGAGGAGATTAAAGCAGGCAAAGGAGGACTACAAAAGGAACGTAGAGTGGAAGCTGCAGCACAACAACACCAGAGAGGTGTGGAAGGGGATGAGGACCATCACTGGCTATAAAGAGAAGAACAGCCAGGCAACATCAGGTGATGTGAACAAGGCCAATGAGTTCAACCTGTTCTACAACAGGTTTGTCACAGCCTCACCTGTTCGCTCTCCCACTGCTTAAGCTGCAGCTTCTCCTACAGCATCTCCTTCACAACCTGACATTGCAACTGCAACTCCCTCCACACTTAGGTCAAGTTTCCTGTCCTTTACAGCTGAGAAGGTGAGGGCGGAGCTCAAGAGGCTACGTCCTGAAAAGGCAACAGGCCCAGATGGTGTGTGTCTGAGGCTGTTAAAGGGCTGTGTAGCCCAGCTGACTGGGCCTCTCCAGAGGATCTTTAATTTAAGTCTACAAACAGGGAGGGCCCGCTCCTGTGGAAAACATCATGTCTTGTTCCGGTCCCTAAAGTAGGATGACCTGCTGAGATAAATGACTACAGACTGGTGGCCCTCACATCACACATCATGAAGACCCTGGAGCAGCTGCTTCTCCATCTTCTGAAGCCATAGGTTGAAAATACACTTGACCCCCTGCAGTGTGCCTACAAGGAACATATTGGAGTGGATGAAGCCGTCCTTTACATGCTCCACCGGGCCCATTCTTACTTGGATGAGCCAGGTAGTTACATGAGGATTATGTTCTTTGATTTCTCAAGTGCAGTCAAGTTAACACTATCCAACCACCCATTCTTAAAGACAAGCTGGAAGGGATGGGGGTGGATCCCTGCTTCACGTCCTGGATTGTGGATTACCTGACAAAATGACCACAGTACATCAGGCTGGGTAATTGTGTCTCAGGGACAGTGATGAGCAGCACTGGGGCTCCACAGGGGACTGTTCTGGCTCCGTTCCTGTTTACCTTGTATACGGCAGACTTTAAATACAACTCTTGAGTCCTGCCACATCCAGAAATACTTGGATGACACAGCTATTGTGGCGTGTATCAGGAATGGGCAGGAAGAGGAGTACAGGGATCTGACGATGGCCTTCAGTGAATGGAGCGACAATAACTGCCTCCTTCTGAACACCTCCAAGACCAAGGAGATGGTCATGGACTTTCGGAGGTCTAGGCCCACCCTTCAGCCAGTCAACATTCGAGGGAAGGACATTGAGGTGGTGCACACTTATAAATACCTAGGTGTGCACCTGGACGGTAAACTGGACTGGTCCCTGAACATGGATGTCAGCTCTTTTTCCTCAAGAAGCTCAGGTCCTTTGACATCTGCAGTGAAATGCTGCACGTTTTATCAATCAGTGGTGGACAGTGTCTTTTATGTGGCAGTCTGCTGGGGTGGCAGCATGTCAGACATGAACAAAGAGACTGGACAAGCTGGTAAAAAAGGCTGGGTCTGTGCTTGGCAGGAGTCTGGACTCACTCAGGAATGTTGTGGAGAGAGGCATGCAATGTAAGATGGAGGCCATCTTGGACCATACCAACCATCCTCTCCACAACATTCTGGCAGGACAGAGAGGTAGCTACAGCTGCAGCAAACACCTCATCTCACTGTGCTGCAGAACTGAGACGTTCAGGAGATCCTTTGTTCCCACTGCCATCAGGCAGCTCAGCCAAAGGAAGTGGACTAATATAATTATTATTGTTTATAATTATTAAATGTTTTTTTTTTTTTATTATTATTATAATCAGCACTGTGCTAGAGGACACATGAATTTTCCTTAGGGGATAACTATCTATCTATCTATCTATCTATCTATCTATCTATCTATCTATCTATCTATCTATCTTCTGAAAAGAAACCAAACAATAACAACCAGACATTAAATGACAGATTATCCATGTTCATGTACAGTGGACAGGGTTCATGTGGATACAGTTCTTGACACAGATCAACAGAAAAAGAATGTCCTAGCCAAAGTCCAGACTTGAACTCATAGAACATCTGTTTAGAGACATGAAGACGACGCTTCAGACACTTCTCATCCAATCTGACAGAGCCCGAGAGGATCAGCCAGGAAGAACGGGATAAACTGTGTTTAGAAAAACCTTTTTCTTCTCATCTTAGCTGGTCAGATTTGATTCAGCCAAATCCTCTAATGCCCCCTGTGTGGCATTAGAGGATTGTGACGACTGTGACGACATAGGCAGGACTCCAAGGTTATGGGTTATTGAGTATAGATCAATAGCAATGTTATCCATTTACAGTTAAACCTACAACACAATCAAGTGGTGTGAATACTTTCTGAAGCCCCTGTAACCTGTTTTTGTTTTGTTCTTGGATTCCTATCTTGCCGCGTTTCTACATTTCTTGACTAATGTTGAAGTTCAGTTTTTCACATAGATTATACTGTTGCATCTGTGAAGGTGACACTGTACCAATGGTGTAAAGTCATGTAGATCTTAGTTTAGATCTTAGACAAGGATGACCAGACCACAGTAGGTCAGAGGTCTAGAACCAGACTAGCTTTATCCAGAAGGTTCAGCAGCTGGTTAGTCAGTCAGTGTTTGTGACTGACTGTTCAAATGCAGATGTTCAGCTCACCAGGTCGGCATACTTCTTGCACAAAGCAGCGAGTTTCTCCTCAGGAGTGGCGAGGGAGTTCAGGGCCTGCATCAACAGAACGACCTCCTTCCCTGGAACATGAACCACGACAGAGAGAGAAGACCTGAATATATTACAGTAGATGTCCAATGAGCGATTTCTATTATCTTATCTTATATTATATTATCTATATTATTATACACTCTGCTGGTCCATTTAAGCTGCTCCACACATGCTGGATATTATCTTAACTAATTTTACATTTTCATCAAACTACAATCATAAGCAGACACCAACATATCTGGCTAGCTTGCATGTTGTTGCTGCACTACAATAATTATAAAAAATAGTTATCAGAGCTCACACAATGGCAAAAAAGCGAGACTGTTTGTTAATAGGAAGTTTTTAGTTCTGACAAAGATAATTGTAAAGCCAATATGGAGCCAGATTATTTAAAAAAAAAAAAAAAAAAAAAAAAATTTAACTGATGATTTTACTTTCTCTCTGTAAAAAGCAATATGTTATCAATGTTAACAATCTGTGGTCTTAACAAAGAAAGAATTATTAGTGTTACGGGTGCTCAGCCCCGAGGCACTCCTCTCAGCTATTCTAGCTGTAGAGGAGTGCCTCGGGGCCTATTAAGCCTATTAATATTCCTCAGACTTATTATTATTCTTCCGCCAAATTTTGGCGCGTAACTCGTCCCACAGCTTTGAGAAAACCCTGGTAATATATACATCAAACGTGCATCTTGATCCCGAAAGAGGTGCTATGACTTTTGGTGTTAAAATTCCAATTTTTCCCAAAGTTATTCCCAAAATACTGGGAATAATAATGCATTAGGAATGCATTGGAATGTTCTTTAAAAACCCTCAAAATTTCACCTTTTTCCTACAAAATTTCACCTTTTTTCTGAGTCACCTAGCTCTCTCATACCTGCACGTAGAAATGTGATTCAAACTATAAAACGGAGGAAAACTTCTGCTCTCTCCAAAACACAACAACTGTTTTTACATAACATGTAAACTTTTCAAACTATGAGCACTCAAAGGAGGAGTGGAAATCACTTTTTCTTCAAAGTTAGAGTGACAGCGTCAGTTGGCTAGAGTGTGTAAAGCAGTAAAAAATAACCTTTATTTTTATTTTTAACTCGAGCTCACGGCCAAACTGTAAAAAGGAGACAAATAATTCTTTCTGAAAATGTAGACATAGTTGTTGGGATTCATAAAATGTAACTTTGACAGGCAGGGTCTGCACAAAATTTAAACAGTGGTGCTGAGTCCGGCAGCAATACCTGTTTGAGTAATGGCTATCAAATGACACATTTATAGAAGCAGTGAAGCTTACAGGTCTAACAAAGATTATGTTGTGAATTTTATATGACTTGGGCATTAATAAACAAAATGAGACCAACATGTAATAATCTAATTAATGTAATTAGGAGCATTGTAAAACACTGTAGTGTTCCTACCAAAAGCCTTGTCCTCTCCAGTCTTGTGGTCTCCTCCAGGATCAAGCTCTACCTCCCCCAGATCACTGGGACTGTCCTCTCTGCCTGGAGTTTCTCCCCTCTCCTCCTCAGCACAGCACAGCCCCAAATCAAACGCACTCCCCTCCTCCTGACACACACACACACACACGCACGCACACGCACGCACGCACACGCACACACACACACACACACACACACGTACACACACGTACACACACGATAACACTGAACAGCTCTTTCAAGCAGAAAGTTTTCACTGAGCAGCTCCACTAAAAAGGCTGAAGTTCAGTTGCTTAACTGCTGTTGGGTGGAAATGTTACTTCACATTTTGCAACATGAAGCCATCACTTAAGTGCTACAACCTGCAGTTCCTCTAATGACCACAAAAGTCTGGCTCCAACAGTGAGTCAATCCCCATAGACTCCCATGTTAAAATGTCCAACTTTGCAGCAGAAATGAATATGTTTACAGCCTGTAATTTTTATATAATCACCTGCTTACATTTGTTAAGTTTTTTAGCCCTCCTCTTCAAGTCACTGAACGGGATGCGTCTGTGGTGTTGGAGCCTTTTGGCGAATTTTTCTTATATATATATATATATATATATATATATATATAACTTGTTGCCTAGTTAATAACAGATTGTTCAAGAAGTCTGTCCTCAATTTTTTCTAGTATTTTTATTTATTTGTTAGCACAACTTAGCAGGTATCAGTGTCTGTGCTCGCCATACCTGGCTTGTAAGCTTAGCAGGTCAACTAGCTTTTTAGCCAACCAAAGAATTAGCCTTGTGTAAGCCTTCGAGCAAGACGCCCAGATACCCTGTGGTAACGATTCTAATAGGAGCTCATACAGACCCACAGTTATTTCACTGCCCTGAATCAAAGTCAAAAAGAAATAGAGAAGTGCTAGAATTTAGGGTGATGATACTTCTGTCTGTGTGAGGTTGGAAAATAAAGATCCACCATGATGATTAGCTACATTGGGGAGGCCATGGCTCAGGAGGTAGAGCAGGTTGTGCAGGTTGGTGGTTCGATTCCCAGCTTCTTCTGTCTGCATGTCGAAGTGTCCTCGGCCAAGATACTGAACCCTAAATTACCCCCAATGTATCATCAGTGTGTGAATGTGTGCGTGTGGTAGAAAAGCACACCTATAGGAAAAAGCGCTGTATGTGTGAATGAGTGAATGTGGCTTCCACTGTAGTGAGTGAGTGGTCAATGAGACTGAGACTATGGTTCAGACATGCAGTACTGATGAATTATCAATTAATTAAAGAAGTGAAAACAGTGAGGCTGGTTTTTAAAACCTGTTAGATGACTGACTGACTGTCATTAATGACAATTGTGAGTGTTAGGGATTCTCGCCATCACCTCTAAGATTGAAACTGAGACAGATCCTTTCCAGTTCAGTTTAATCGTGTGTTGTTATCAGATTTTGAACTCGCTGCCCGTTTTATAACATCTGACAGTCAATGACAGGATGTTAAGTTTGGACTCAAGAATGAAAACTGGAAATACACGGAGCAACTGTTCAAATTAATACTGCAAGAGTCTTTTATAACCTCTTTTGTCCCAGTTGCACCATGAAGGCAAAATAGTTTCTATAGACTGATATAACACTAATATGACTCTTTAAGTGTTTCCTAGTTTTATTGAACTGATGAGAGATAAAGAGATGATACATTTATTACAGTCATGTTAGGAAGAGACACAGCACGTACATTTAACTTCTCTCTCTTTGCATGTGTCACCTTGTGCTGCTGCAACCTTTACATTATTCCAACAGCATTCAGTTCACTAGTAAGACTGCAGTTATGACTTACACGTAAAATAGTGAAGTGCTTTTCAGACATGAGAGCCACATGTTAAACTGCTGTCAGGTTACTGTAACATGGTGAATGTCTGAAAGGGGACCATGCTATTCTCATGCCGAGTATCTAAGCTCAGTACTTCTTAGGTAGTGACTAAAATGTGTTTGCAGCAGAGTATGGAAAACTGATGAGTACAGAGATACAGTGCTATGAAAAAGTATTTGCCCCCTTACAGATTTCTTTTGTTTTTGCTTTTTTGTCACACTTAAATGTTTCAGATCATCAAACAAATTTTAATATCAGACAAAGATAACCTGAGAAAATACAAAATGCAGTTTTTAAATGATGATTTCATTTATTAAGGGAAAAAAGCTATCCAAATCAACCTGACCCTATGTGAAAAAGTAATTGCCCCCCCTTGTTAAATCATGAATTAACTGTGATTAACCACATTTCTTGGAAAGCTGAGTTCAATTTCACTAGCTCCACCCAGGCCTGATTACTGTAGAATCAAGAAATCACTTAAATAGAACCTGTCTGACAACATGAAGTGAGCTAAAAGATCTCAAAAAGCAACACATCATGCCCCGATCCAAAGAAATTCAAGAACAGATGAGAAACAAAGTCATTGACATCTATCAGGGTTACAAAGCCATTCCTAAGGCTTTGGGACTCCAGCGAACCACAGTGAGAGCCATTATCCACAAATGGACAAAACATGGAACAGTGGTGAACCTTCCCAGGAGTGGCCGGCCTACCAAAATTACTCCAAGAGCGCATCGACAACTCATCCAGGAGGTCACAAAAGAACCTAGAACAACATCTAAAGCACTGCAGGCCTCACTTGCCTCAGTTAAGGTCAGTGTTCATGATTCAACAATAAGAAAGAGACTGGGCAAAAATGGCATCCATGGGAGAGTTCCAAGGCGAAAACCACTGCTGACCAAAAAGAACACAAAGGCCCGTCTCACATTTGCCATAAAACATCTTGATGATCCCCAAGACTTTTGGGGAAATATTCTGTGGACTGACAAGACAAAAGTGGAACTTTTTGGAAGGTGTGTGTCCCATTACATGTCGTAAAACTAACACAATATTTCAGAAAAAGAACATCATACCGACAGTCAAACATGGTGGTGGTAGTGTGATGGTCTGGGGCTGCTTTGCTGCTTCAGGACCTGGACGACTTGCCGTAATTGATGGAGCCATGAATTCTGCTCTCTACCAGAAAATCCTGAAGGAGAATGTCCGGCCATCAGTTCGTGACCTTAAGCTCAAGCGCACTTGGGTTATGCAGCAGGACAATGATCCGAAGCACACCAGCAAGTCCACCTCTGAATGGCTCAAAAAAAAAACAAAATGAAAGTTTTGGAGTGGCCTAGTCAAAGTCCGGACTTAAATCCGATTGACATGCTGTGGCATGACCTTAAACAGGCCGTTCATGCTCGAAAACCTTCCAATGTGGCTGAAATAAAACAATTCTGCAAAGAAGAGTGGGACAAAATTCCTCCACAGTGATGTGAAAGACTCATTGCGAGTTATCGCAAACGCTTGATTGCAGTTGTTACCGCCAAGGGTGGCACAACCAGTTATTAGGTTTAGGGGGCAATTACTTTTTCACATAGGTTTGGTTTGGTTTGGATAGCTTTTTTCCCTTAATAAATGAAATCATCATTTAAAAACTGCATTTTGTATTTTTTCAGGTCATCTTTGTCTGATATTAAAATGTGATGAACTGAAACATGTAAGTGTGACAAAAAAGCAAAAATAAAAAATCTGTAAGGGGGCAAATACTTTTTCACAGCACTGTATCTGATGAGGCTGATAATCTTGTGAACATGTTCTTTGATCAGACAGTTCATGATTTCAACCTGAGTTTTAGACAATTTCCTTCAGGCAAAAGTCTTCTGTCTGTTCCTGTTTGGACAACATTTCACACATCTTTGTTTTTTTTTTTTTAATAAAAATGGTTTTGTAAAAAAATAAAAAAATAAAAAAATAACAGTATCACACCAGCGCTGGTCCCAACATTCACCACATTTACTTTCAGAGAAACAGTTGTACCTAATCTCTTGCTACATGCAAGATGCACGTACAAACACTGAACACTGAAAACAGGACAGTGGACAGTAACACAGTACTTGCATGACAAGTACAAGAAGATCAATAATACATCATGTTGATAGTGTTTACCTGACACGGGCTGTCCAGCTCTGGCGGAGAATCACTGCCTCCCACTATTCTTCTGGTCGCCACATCAATCTCACAAACTTCTGTTGTCTCCATTAGTCCTGATCTCAAGCTAGAAATCCATAGTGAAGCAGAATTATTAGAAACTCTCAATGAAATTACAGCATGGCCATATACGGGGGATCTAATAATGAGCAGTGAGAGTTGAATTGGGACTGGAAATAGTACTGTTTAAAAAAGCTTGAGAGAGGATCTCTTAAAACTCTTGGGAATTATTACCACAATGATTTTATCAACATAGTGATGACTGACAGATTGGGCCAACCATACTCAACACACAATCTCTGTAGTGTCACATGTAAAGGAAAAAATAAAAAACTCTGAGTATCAAAACACAGCTCTGGTCACATTTACAAGCACATAGCAAAAGTAAAAGGCGAGTCATTACGCAGCCTGTGTAGACAGCAGCACTGATTCAAATAGGAGCATATCTGTTCCATCAAACACGTGAGACGGATGACTGAAAACGCGGCTGTAAGGATTTTTGTGTAGATACGCAATAATGTATAATTTCCTGTGTTTTTCCTGATTCAGTATGTGTAAAATGTAAAACTGATTTATTTTAGTTACACTTTTAAACATTAAAAAAGTAAAAACAAAATCCTAATTGCCATTTAACCAAATTGTATGTACCACCTCCCCATAGCTTTATCTTTTCATCTTCTTTCTCACTCCTTGGCAGAAATGGGATTCCATACTTTACCCAATACACACTATGTGACATCTCCTTCAGGGCCTGTAAGATAAATTCTATATATGGAAAAAAAGACTTGAGGGTGTTGATGTACTTCTCTAGGCTAACAGCATCAGAGTTAGAGATAAAATTGACTGCCAAGTGTCAAAATACAACAGAAATTTGTTCAGCTTTTAAAATAAATGTGGAGAAAGAGAAGAAATCCTATAACCTCAGAACTGTCTTTGCAAAGCAACACACACCAGACAGCAAAGTCAACCACGTGTGTGGCAGGAGCAGCCTGGACATGTCCCTGAGCCTGAGAAATGTCTGCACTGCACACAGCATGCTTGATCATAGGTACATTACATGAACTGAAGCCAGTCACAATGATCCGCTGATTTTAACATAGTTTTATGTTTAGGAATCCGAACCAGACAAACTGTAAATACAGACGACTCCTGCTACCTCACCCTGTCAGTCGTCTCAGGCCTACAAACACTTTACTTCCATCCGTGTACGGTAACTGCTTGACTTTAGCCTCGCACCAAAATTCACATTAGAGGATACCAACAGGTTGAAGGCCACTAAACATTTCATGCTATGTTATTTAAGTTACGGCAGTGGACTGACACAAAAGGCAGGTAACTTACAGAAGTTAATGACAATCTAGTGTGTAGTGTACGCTAACTGGTTACAGGTTAAGCTAACCATTTTTCCAAGTACAACACCCTGTCAAACGCTAACATGATTGTTATTTTAGTGTTCTTGAGATTAGTAATATTTACCTGTACTGAACACGTATGTATTATGGACCTGGGAGTTGAAGAGACAAGATCCCCAGCGGTTCTCTTCATGTCAGAGCTAACTTCGCTGCAGTTTCCTGCATAACTAACTAACTAACTGACACGATACCTGCAAGTTCGCAAAACATGTTCTTAGCTGCGCTCCTACGTGTTGTTCACTCAATGTAAAGAAAACTTTAGGAGAATCTCTTTCAGACCAAATGAAACGGCTTGTTTTGGCATATATAATCCCGTCGGCAAAAATACACGACTTAATGCACTACAGTGCATTACGTAAAACGTTTAATGTTACTTAATGTCGGGGGTTTCTGTTCTCTGTTAGTATTAACGTTAGCGAAGGTTAACCAACTTCAAAAAGTGGAAATATACAGACATTTGCACACATTTGAATATAATACTAGGACCGGATTTAAAGTTACATTAATGTACACTTAAAATTGTCTTAAGAAATGTATTATCAACAAAGTGGTTTTGTAAAACAACAAAGTAACCATAAACCTACGGGTTTGTAAAGGGAGTCTGGTATGACGTTCCAGCGACTCAGGTCATGTTAGCCACTTAGCTAAACGCACAGTAAGCACTTCATTAATTGTACCTGTAAATAAACCGCCGAATACATTTATAGTGTAAGTGTTCTGACATGTCAAATGTAACCATGGATAGCAAAGAGCGCAGCTGGTAAATAAACAATAGTTAGCCGCAATTTTCTAAAGTAAGCTAACATTAGTTTGCTATTGTTAGCAGGGCTAATCCTGTGCTAACAGCTAAGCTAGCTGATGGCTAGCCCTATTGGCTAACACCAGAAGTGAACTTTACTTCGGCAAATACGACATGTGTGATAGTAAATTAAAACACACCCAGGCTGATAGTTACAGGTTACACACTGCGCTGAAGTTACAAAAATCAGCACGATAAAATACAAATTAAGCAAATTATGTTGCTGAAATAGCTAAAGCGTTTACCTGTGTGTTTTCACTATAGATGGAAGCAGGGCACAGTCATCAAGCTAGTTCGAAATGTCAGACAACAAGTAAAATATCCGGTTAAATCTTTTCAAAATATAACGTGTCCAGCGTGTCCACACGTCACATTCTACGAGTAATACATTTTTATTCGGGGGCGCTCCCGTCCCTCAACTGATAGAGCGCGTACCACCTAGGCTCAGTCCCTACCGCAGCAAAGGCCATGGGTTCGAGTCTGACCCATGGCTGCAGGTCATACCCTCTCTCTCTCTTCCCAACTTTCCTGTCACTCTCTCACTGTCCCTATCTGATAAAAGGCAAAAACTGCCCTGCCCCCCCCAAAAAATGTATTCCATTATTTATAAGACATAAGACGCCTGTACAAATACTTTTGTTGTCCAGTTTGCTTCAACACAACAACACAACTGAAACACAACTTTTTCTTTTCTTCATTATGTGTCTGATGATGAATTGTGTCCGGTGATTTTCCACTGTTTCTCCACAGCAGTGGTGGAATGTATTAAGTACATTTACTCAAGAATGTACATAAGTATGTACCTAAGATATATGGTACTTGCACTTTACTTGAGTATTATCTTTTCATGCTACTTTATATTTTTACCCCACGTTTATCTGACAGCTAAAGCTACTAGTTACTTTACAAATGAAGATTTTACACACAAACACATAAAAGATGATGCTTTGTTATAGATAAAATATCAAGTAGATAAGAGACTATTAGTTTATTGACAGTGAATCAATTGACAGAAAATTAATTGAGAAATTATTTTGATATTCTTAATTTTTCAGTCAAAAATGCCAAACAATTTATGATTTGAGCTTCTCAAATGTAAGTTTTCTGTTTTTTCATTTTAATAATGTCAGTAATTTTAGTATTTTCTTTTTACAAAGCCAACTATCAATCAACTGAATAGTCAAGAACATATTCAGCATGTTATTCAATAATGAAAACAATAATTTCTCACAGCCTTGTATGAAATAGTTTAAATTGAGGTCCACCTCAGCCATCCGCAACAGTAAAATGCTGTTTATACATTAATGCACCAATAACAATAATTTAATGAAATAATAATATATCACTTACAGGGCTTCTGTCTGCACTTAGTTTCACTTGAGTAACATTTTTAATGTAGGACTTTGACTTCTAATAGAGTACTTTTATTCCAAGTACTTTAAGTAAAGCAAAAGTCACTCTAGGTACTTCCTCCACCACTGTGCAACTGTTTTTAAGTCACAGATTCTCTTTGCCATTGATTTTGCATTTTTATATAACCATCATCATCATAATCATTATTGTTTATAGGTCTTAATCTTGTAATGTTAATATCCAAATTAATTTAGATTAAAGTAAGAATTTTACAGCGGATATAAGCAGTTGCGCAAACTGCACTGCACTCATCACATGCCATTGAAAGCTTCTTTTGCACAGGCTATTTAACTGACGTTTTGTTTTAATTTGAAGGTATCACCCTCATATTTCCGGTAGTAATGTGACTAACTTGATGTAGCTGAAGTCCCTTCTATAATCAAGAATCTCTCAGCTCCTCTTTTTCCAGGACGTCAGAGGGAGGGAAACAACAGCGACTTGATATCCAACTACAGAAACAACTTAAAGACAGCATCAAAGCCACTTTACCTCATTAAATTTATCTTCTTCTTGGTGTAATAAACCTATTCTTATGACATCATTAAGTTTTTTAAAAGAGAGTGAAGTGTGGTTTTGGAAGTGACCGCACATTCCCATGCTGCTGTTCTTTTTCCTTCTGCGACGACAGAGATGACCATTTTAAATCTATTACAAAGAGTATGAGGAGCGTTAGGAACTCATTTTAGGGAAATAATCTCATGGATATTTGGACGTAACGGTACAAAAAATGATTGGATTGATTACTCTTCGTGATTCTATACAGGAAATTAAAGCCACAGAGAGTTTGATCACTGCATTAGTTTTTAAAGCAAATCAAATATCAGTGTTTACGTTTCTAATATTATATATATAATAGTTTACAATTTATAGCTCAGAAGTTTTGCTTTTATTGGACAGAAACCTCCTGAACAGACTCTGACTGAGTGAATTTGTTGAACTGTTTCTTGTCACACACCACCAGCGGCTGCAGCTGGAGGTATGTTGCCTCGTATGGAAGGGATCACATTGCACTGACTCTCGCTCTTCCCCCGGTGCTGTAGTAATTTTAACTGGGAGGTCTTTCTTCTGCCAACCAATTATCGCACGCCTGTGTGTTGAGAGCGGAACCCGATTAGCTCAGAGCAGCAGATCGTTGTCATAGCGACAGCCGATTGGTCGGTCGGGTTGTCCAAACGCTCGGGACCCGCCCGGTTTCTCCCCTCAGTGAGGACGTTGTTTTCCATCCATACTAGAAGGAAAAAACAGCAGACAGAGGACTGGAGTGTGGCAGAGGGTCGGCAGTAATAAAGCGAGATCCTGAGCCGGGATAATCGGGATAAAAATACATGTTCCAGTCGGAGACAAGAGCCGTCTTTACCGTCGCTTCGTTTACGGTACGTTCTCCCTTCTTTTGTTGTTACAGTGTCCGATAGTTTGACTGAGCCCGCTGCTGGAGACACACTGGTGTCAAATGACACGTAAATCATTATGTTCTGCTCTTTTTATTCCCACGTAACCTTCATTGGTTTTTGGTAATGACAGACTTATACTGCAGCGTGAAGGGATGATCACTTTGTTGCTGTGAGGGGAAAAAAAACACTCATTTCCTTTTGAATCCCCCTGTGAAGTTTACACAGTGGGGCTCTTTTTTCCACTCATTGACTTTCTGAAATAATGAACTAATATTTGAGGATTTATAATTACCTGCAATGCAATGAACTTGACTAATGAGTTCCAGAGAGCAGCCTGTAGCAGTTCCTGAAGTGGGAACCCCAGCAGTACCTGAGAGGGCAGGGTTAGCTTAGAAAATAAAAATATGAATGTCACCATTGCCTCTTCCTGCAGAAGAGACAAGTTCAGTGCAGCCTAACCATTACCATTACCTAACCATCACCTTGCTTTGCATAAACTCTTACACCCAACAATATAACCATAATGTCTGCCATGAATGATGCATGCACCCAACACTGCACAAGGTAATTACATTCAAAATCGACCTCACAAAATGTCTAAACTGCTGGTAATTGACACGTAACCTGAGGACAGAGTCACGTTTGAACTGATAAAACCATCATCTATAATTGGAAATCTGCTGAGATGTCAGCTCCTTGGTTGTGGTGGTCTGGGATCAGCTTCATCTGAAGTGTGTCATAGAGGTTGGGCTGGGTTTACCCCATTTTGTGCCTCTCATGTACATTCAAGACACAGAGCTTAGATTTGCTTTCTGTAGAAGATCAATCCCTGGAGGTGAATTAACAACTCTCACTGCTGTTTTGAAGGAATTTTCAAAATGTCATTTATTTTATCCTGTTTCCGAAGTTATGGCTCTATATCCTAAACCAAACAAAGACAAACTCTGGATGTGACATATCCCCATCTCTGCTTTGCTGGGTCTGAACCAAAATTAAAAAGTCTTATTATCAGTTATAGTTGTCCATACTTATACTACTTACTTTCACTCAAAATTATGTGTGTATGATTTTCTGGAGTTATTCAACAACATTCATCAGGACTGTGTCTCTGAGAAAACAGAGGCTTAGCTCTGTGACTCCAGTGTAATGGTAACATGTGAGGGGCACAAACCGGGACAGGGCTGGGTCTCTGGTTTGATTCATCATTTTCTTTGCTTATTATTTGAGAAGATAGTTCCTGATTTCAGACATATACTGTTCATTCACTCAGAGTTCAGTTAAAGCTGCTTATAACAGTAGGAAGGTTTGGCTCTATGTGTAAACTCAAAACATTACATTCCTCTAAGTCAGGTTTTGGGAATTTTTTTTTTTTTTTGTATGGAGGGTTGGGGTTCTGCTAGCTGGGTCCATTGTGGATCCGGTGTCCGTGTCTTTGATGCTGATAAACGTCTGAACAAACTTCCTAATTTCCAGCCTATTTCTTTATCAGCAAAGCAATTAACACAACATTGAGGCACCTTCTCATATTTCACCTGTGCTGAATGTCGCTTTCACAGGTTAAAGTGATACACGCTGCCAGTGGCAGATTATATCAGCTGTGGGTGATTAACATTAGTTGTGTTGTGTGGTTAATGTGAGTGGTGACTGTAGTTACTGTATGAATCAGGGGCATCAGTATAGCAGACTACCGCAGTTATATCAGTGTGTCAGGTACATTTAATTTAATTTGTGAACATTCATTTGACTAGCAGTTAAATGTCAGATAAGACCCAGACCTACACAGAGGGACCTGTGTGGAGAAATGATTTTATACACTCAGAGTAAAGGAGTGATCCAAAAGTATTACACCAGCATTATCCTCATATTAGAGCTGAAACAGCTGATTAATTAAATTGCCAATAAACTGGTTCTGCAGCTATTTTTTTTATAATGAGTTAAGTTATTAATCAAGACAAAACAGCAAACATTTCCTAGTTCCAGCTCATCACTTTCCTTCATATATGTAACAGTAAACTAAATATCTTGGGATTTTGGACTACCATTAGTTGGTCAAAACAAGCCTCATTCTGGAGACCGAATGATTCATCTATAAAGAAAATAATCAATAGCTGCAGCCCTGCCTTAAACATACATCCTACTTTACTATCTGGTTGTCAGAAAATCCTTAGAGCTGACTTGTCTAAAAAAAGAGAGAAACTACTACAGGAAGTCCAGCACTTCTTGTCAGACCCCTGAATAAATAATTTACCTCCCACTAAGAGAACTTCATCCCCTCTGAAATGACTAGTGATGATTCTGCTCTGTATTCCAGCGGCAGGAGAAAAGCATTTGTTTTTGATTTATAAGATGAAGTGGAGGAGTTCACCTCTGACCACTTCCAGAAAGTCAGTGAATCAGCTCCAAACCACACTAAGGAAGGATCATGGGTAGTATCCATGCATCTCTCTCCCAGCGTATCATCACACAGTGTCCTGAGGTCGTCCATCTGTTTTGCTTCCTGTAAGCTGCTGCTCTGTCGGTGTGATGCTCATTGTTACCTCTCTCACACTCCTGTCCTCCCTTTAATTCAATTCACTCTCTTATTTATCTGACACACACACACACACACACACACACACACACAGACACACACATACACACACTGTACTGTAACTTCAGTGTGTGGTTGTCATGGAAACACACTGAAGGCAAAATATAAGAACAAGAGCCATGTGCTCCAGGTTCATACACCATGCCTAATGTCTGCCTGCACGTGTGTGTGTGTGTGTGTGTGTGTGTGTGTGTGTGTGTGTGTGTGTGTGTGTGTGTGTGTGTGTTCTACTGTTTATTATTTTCTTCTGTCACAAAAATATTGTGATGACAGAATTACATGTACACACATTTTTTTGTTATCGTAAGCAAAGTATCAGAATACTATTAGGAATTACACTGGGTCATCTGCCCGAAGATATTTGCATTTTATTAAATTAAAATTTTAAATTTTTTCTCGTACATTAGTTGGTTGATTCTGAGTACACCACATTGGTCCAGACTAAAATATGTCAAGGGGCAGTTGTTAAACCAGAGATAACCTAAGCCCAGGGCTCTACCATTCATACTGCACCTCTACTAGCCCTGGGTTAAATGTCTTCTGGTGCTAATGTTAACACTCTATAATGATGCGTCACTCATCTTTAGAGTGAGTACTCTTTCAGTCGATTATATACAGTAACAAGAAGCCATGTAAATGTTTGGCACAACAGTGATCAAATAGAAACATATTAGAATAAGACAAAGAACAATTATAGGAATACTTTCCTGTTGAAACTTTAAGTTGATGTTGGGAACATAGCAATAGTTTACATCCATTAAAATGGCTTATTTTTTTAAATGAAGACGTCACGTGATGGACAACCAAAACGTGATACACTGTCAATTGTTTAGTAGATTTTCAGAGGACAACCCTGGTCTAGATCAGGGCTAGTAGGCAGGCCCCAGGCTAAAGTTGGAACTAAAAGCACCAGTATGTCTGCATTGAAAAAGCATTGACACAATCTGGTTCATTCATCAATGTTCTTCATGGGATGAATTGTAATAACTTAAGTCATAAAGACTTTTCGTCTGGCTCCATCATCATCAAACACTTTGCTTTATAACTAAAAACCTGCAAAACTAATCTCACTCCCATCAGCCTCAGCGGTACCTGGTGTTTAGTGCTAACACTCTATAATGATGCATCACTCACACTAAACTAATGTGATGAAAACTACAAACAACAGCATGTTAGCATTGTCATTGGGAGTAGTTAGAATTCTGACATTAGCTCAAAGCACTAGGGGTGTTCAAAAAAATCAATTCACATTAGAATCTCAATTCTGTCTCGACCAATTCAAAATCGATTTTTAAATTCCAAAAAAAAATAGATTCATATTTTTGCGTCTTGTAACAGGTCCACGTTTTTTCCTGACACAAGTTAAACTCACCATTCTGAAAGATGGTGACGTGCTTGTTTCTGCCCAGGTATTCTTCCACCAAGTGCAGTGTGAGTGATGGAAAACATAAACCAAAAAGTAATTCAACCTGCTGTGAAGGCAGTGTTTGGACACATTTCGGATTTTATCACCTTGAGGGGAAGAAGCAGCTTGATAAGACCTATGTTATCTGTAGCTTTATATATAAGATGTGATCATCACTCAAGTGTATGTCATGAAGAGCAAGTAACAAATGAAAGGGTGACAGTTGTCATATTGACATTTAAGGTGCATCAATTAATTTCCAAACGTCAACCATGCATTGAGTAACAGTCAAGACAACATTCCACCTTAAAAGATGCCAGTAACAGCCGGTAGCCTCTGAGCTGCTCAGTGAAATAAATGGTTAATTAAATGGTTAGTTAATAAAGATGAAAAGACAGAAAGTTTCTTCATCTGTGATGCTTTTACACAGTAACATGACAAAGTCAGTCTGACAACTTGTGCTGCTGAAAATGAAAGCTAGCTTAGCCTAGCATGTTAGCTAAGCTTGACCTCTACCTGTACTGCAGCTTCTCCTCTGAATGGATGTTTCCAGTGTGGCTTCATTTGTTCGACACAAGTCAGTAAATGAAATCATTCAAAACACAAACTACTTGTGTTCATTCACCTGCTGCATAATGCTAGGCTAATTACAACCTGCTGCATCGATGGTATGGTCTTATATTACTGAGCTGGATGTTTGTTTGATGCTGCATCATATTCTCAACATGATCAAACTATTCATAAAATCAGTCTAACATCTGATTATGTGGTCATAGTTGACTGATCTATGTAAACGTCACTGTGGGAACAGAGGTTACATAACCATAGAAACGGGATGCAACATACTGGAGTGCATGTCATAGGTGAACTACTCATGATCATCAACTACTCATAGGTGAATATTATATGATTGTATTTTGAATTAAGAATCATTTTTGAGTCAAGAATTGATTTGTATTGAATCTTGACATTTTCTGAGTCATGCAC